TCAGCGTGGGGAACCAGAAGACACCGGGCTGTCCGGCACCACTGTCGGGAGGGAACTCAACGCCGTCAATCTCCTTGAACGCTTCCACCAGAGGCTTCACGCCGGGGTAGTAGAAGCGAGGCCAGCCAGCATAGATCTCCGAAGAATCACCCCAGTAGGAGGCATCGTACTTGAAGCTGTCGAAGTTGCCGGTCAGCTCGGGAGTGGGCTCGGTAAAGTGGAGGCCCTTTCATGAAGCGGTCAGCTTGTTGTCTATGCCAGAATCGAAGTCAGGGTGGATCTCTTACCTTCTTGAAGGACTTCAACATGCCATCCCAGCTCCAGTCAGCGACTCCCTGCTGAGCTTCGGATCCGAACAGGGTTGCCCAGCGGTCGTAGTCCTCGGCGGAACCGCGCATGTTCATCATGGCGTTCACGGAAGAGCCGCCTCCGACTTGCTTGGCAATCCAGACGGTGCCAACTCTTCCGTTCAAGTTGAGCTGCGGCACAGACTCCACGCCGGGCCAAAGGGAGTTCATGAGGTTGGCATATCGCGACTCGGTGAAGTAAGCCGCAAGATTCTCTTCCATGTTGCCCCAGTTGCCGGCCTCGAGGACCAAGACGCTCGTTTCGGGGTCCTCAGTCAAACGGTCTGCCAGGGTCAGGCCGGCCGTTCCACCTCCGACAACAACATAGTCGTAGCTTTGGAGCAGCTGAGATGACTTGATCTGGCGGGGGACGGCCAAGGCGTTGGCGACGGAGCTCACTGCGAGGAGAGCTGTGAACGCAGTCCGGGGCCACAGGGGCTGGGACTTGGACTGGCGAAGGAACGGCATGGCGATGAACGAATCTTCGTCGCGTAAAGATCTGAGAAAAAGAGGGTGGAAGGACCGAGGTGCTCGCAGAAGCCCTTAGAAGCCAGCTCGGTTACGCGAGGGCGGGATAGCCATACTTATACGCGGGTGTTACTCGTTTTCGCATGTTTTCCGACGAGGCAGAGCATTTCCTTGGCGTTGACCCGCGATTGCCTTTTTTGAGCGTCTTCTATGTCACCTGCCATGACTCCTTAATATCGCGCGCTCATGCTTGATTGACCTTCTGGTTTAGGGAACCAATCCGTATCTCGTACCGAAGAGAGGTGAAAGTTGGCACTGCGCCCAGCCGGTTGAGTGGACTACCAAGACAAAAATTGGGGATTCACAACAGATCCAAGCGAAATTATGAGGGCGTATTCTGCATCCTGTCTGTCTAGTTGCTACCAACAACATGTCTACGGAACCAACGGCTGCCGATGGCAATTGGCTCGCCTGTCAGCCGGAACAAGGGCGGTAACGCCGCGCTCCATTCTTTTGCATGTCAGCTGCAGGAACCAACCATGCTCTCAGTTTTATCCACGGATACATAAGCTTAGATAACGAAGAGAAAAGACGGGGCCGCGGTAGCCGAAGTCGGCGAGTAAAAAGGTGTGATTGTTGGTTGGAGCTGATTGATAACCTAATAAATGCAGGGCAGGGATGGCGGAGCCTCTTTTCACCCCCACGGGACCCCCAATATCAACGAATAGCAAAACCCCGGGCCCGTTGATTCCCTTCCCCGGCCTATTTGCTTCCGTGAACTTGCATTTGGGCATGTTACCTTGAAGGAAATATGACAAATTGAGAGAATTGACAAATGAATGACAAACCTGACATCGTGGGCAGCATCACCGCGCCAGGGCAGGTCGAGTCTTGGCATTCTACATGGCCGTTCTCCCTCACCTAGTCTACCCACAAAATGCGAAGAACAGCATTCATGACTCTATCCGTACGACCGCAGCGCCATTTTGATCTTTCAAGAGTGATCTTTCATGACCTGAAGGCTCGGCCTCTCAGGCGGTGAACACGAACTCGAACTTGTTGGGGCCCACCTGAGCGTTGGATGTCGATCAAAATCTTTTATGGGTTCGCGCGACTCGCGACCGTCTTCATGTAAGCTCCCACCGGCTTGGCTTCTTTGACGCGCGGGAGGCGGGACCAACAGGAGCGGGCCTCCGTGATACCGATACGGACTATCGTATCCATCTGTGCGGCTGTACAAGAATATTCGCTCCGGCAGATGCGAACTAAATCGTACCATGATCCATGTAATCATGCGTATGGGGCACTACTAGTCCTGCTGTAAGTGTACACGACCGTAGCAATTGCCAAGAGATATGGGAAACCTTGTTCTCGTTGTAATATCTTTAACTGCATACTCGCAGCTGCTGTAAAAGGCCGCATGCCGGGAACGCCGTGTATGGGAGACAAGACGACTGCGCGTTCATTTAGTGCATTCGCTTTTGGATGAGACGCGATTCATTTAGTTAAGCTTGTATGACGTCTCCAATGGCAGGCACGTCTAAGTCAAGGGCTATCTCAATTGACGTCATCTAACTAGTGACTTATCACCTCTTTTCTTAGTTACGTCTTCCCTTTCACGCGATATATAAAAGATGAAAACACAGCTGTCGTTTGCTGGTTTCCGCAAGCCAATGCTTTGTCCCTTGCGTGGTGCAATTGGAAAAAGATGAGACATGTGATGTTCGTTCTTAAGAGTCTATCACCACACCTTCAACGTTCCCAGTGAAGCGTTTTGCCTAGGTAGATGGACTCACAATAGGCAATAACACCTTCCTTCACCCTTCCCGGGTGAGAGGGAACAGAATACTCACCAAATCACATAATGTCTGTCTCTCCGAATGTCAAATCAGCTGAGGAAAAGTAAATAAATGTGTGACGACGTCGTGTGCAGCCTCAGGTTCAAGTAATTATCAAAAGGCCGAGAACTCCAGAATCAGCTCCAAGATGCGTTCAGCTTCATTAACCATCAATTCCTGTTCAAACAAATTGCTAACCCTTTTTTCGCTATTGATTGAGACCCCCCCCCCCGGTTCAATGAATATGCTATGCCGATAAGTTCTTCATCTAACGAGGAGCATAAGTAGTGGTTTCGTTTTCAGACACCACACTATAAATGCACGCCATCTCTTCGACGGATTCTACTGCAGGAACAACGACAACAAATTAGTCGTCATGAGCGCTGTTTGCTCATGTGAACTTTCCTCTGATCCGCCGGCACTTGTGAGCGGATGCCTCCGTCGCCAAAGGGTGAATCGAACACACGCTTCACCCCGCGCAAGCACGACTTCATTGACGTCACTCTCGTCACTGCTGTGCGAAAACTTCATTCCAGAGAAATCGACAAATCTATCTTGTGGTGTGGAGCACTCCTTATCTGAGACGCCTCACTACAGCCAACATTCTTCTCATAGACTGTCTTCAAGTTGAGGCATGCGACCTTTATCTTATTTAAATTTTCAGTTTAGCCATGATACATAAGACTTCTAGGTTCTCTCCAGAATCATGCTTGTCGAATAAGCCGCTGAGTTTCGTTACATAAAGGCACAGCTCCCAGGGAGACGCTACTCCGCATCGCAATAGTTCGGCCTCGTCATGACACTTTCTTCACTTCAAACAACATGAATCCTGCACCGTCTGGGAAGCGAAGACAGTCCCTGAAGATGGCGTGAGTCATTTCTCCAAGGCAAGCTCTGGATTTGCCCTGCTGTTCTTCCCTGTAATCCTTTGACCTGTCGGCGTGAATACCTACAGGACAACACATCAGCACATAATCGCCTGTACCGATAACCGAATGATCCATATCTACATCCAGGTATAATCTATGTTCAGCATAGTACGAACTCTTCGTGACGACGTTCCACTTCATTTGTCCATCAAGAAGAGAGTCGTGCAAGTTGCCGACTCAGCCCTTCCAATTGAATAATAAAACGGTTTTTACATGCTCAGAAGAGAAAACCAATGAATTTTCTTCCTCTTTCAGGGCATTTATCAGATCTCGAAGAAAGGCATTCCCTAATGCCGTTTCGCCATGTAATCGCACTTGAGAGACTAAACAGCTCACCCAAAGTCTTGATGCTTGGACAGCAACATCACTTTGACCATCGCTAATGTATGAAGAAATGAATAATCTCTAAACAACAGAAAAGAAGCCCTTGCAAGAAAAACAGCAAACACGGCAAACACATTCAGACGTAGGAATTCGCCCCCAGATCCGGATGGGCTCTGTTGGAAACGACGTTCAGCCTATTACAGAGATCCAATTCTATCTCTTATCATATGTGCTTAAATAACGAGGCAGATGTCGTTGGGATTGGCTGGCAGTCTCAAGCTCAAGCTCTGGGTATTTAAGACTAGTTACGAAGAGATCGAAGCGGCATGGGCAATGGCGTTGGATGATATCAGGGGCCAGCCGGACGTTTTCACAGAGGACTAAGCATTACGTGTCGTGAAGAATCTGTCCTTCTCAGTGGCGGTGGCTGGGAGAACTGGCGGTACACCCCCACTCATCATGATTGAGCGGTACTGGGCACTGCTCCAACCGTATTCAGGGCCGCATAACCAAAGGAGGACAGAAACCACGATTTCATACATGCAGACCTGAACTTGGAGACTCGGTCATGAATTCCCCTCCCCCGCCGCAGACAGAATTTCAAATATGTTTTGAGCACGATGACGCGAGAGCGAACTCTCGATTTTCCTTCGCCCGTTCTGATGTCTCTGAATCTAGGGACGAAGACCATTTTATATGTCGGAGCCTTTGCGAATCGCACATGTAAACCCTCGATGCAGTTGTCTAAGGTCTTCCTTGTAGCATGCCTCGCGCCCCAAGTCCAGGGAACCCACGTCAGGAGACCAGATTCCGAGCTTTCAAACCCGTAATGGGCAAGCTGCAGTTGTGTTCCATATACATCACTGCCCCGTTGACCGACAAAAAGTAACAGACCATCTGACAGTCTGCGTCACTATCGTCTTGAGATTGTTCAAGGTGATTACAAGTTGATTCAAACGTATGGACAAACAAGTCCAAATCTCAAGTCTAGCATGATCTACGATCAGATGGGTATCACGAAACGCTGCACAGAAAAGACGCGACTACAAAAATACTCGACGTCACAGTCCGTATCCCCAGGAACGGGAAGGCCTCTAATCCGACTTGCCCCGCGCCTTCCTCCGCTTGTCCCTTCTCCTCTTCCTCTTCTTCCTGTCGGCGCTGATCTTTCTGCGCTGCCAGAACATCTCGAACCAGGCAAAGATCCAGGTCCGCATCATAATGATGATCGTGCAGACGACGACGGGGACGGCGATTTGCCAGCTGCGAAAGGGGCTCAACGTTAGCATGCGTCACTTGTTTGTGGTAGGGAGATGATGAGTGAGGCGACTTACAAGAAGAGAATGCCCTGCGGCTTTTGGATGTCCTTGAAATTCTCAAAGTTCTGTCCAAAGTAACCGGTCAAGAAGGTCAGGGGCAGGAAGATGATGGTGATGATGGTCAACTGCTTCATGCTCTCGTTTTGATTGGCGGAGATGGTGTTGAAGATGAGGTCGATCAGGTTGTCCGCGGACCGCTTGATCTGCTGCATGGCCTCGGTCGTGATAACGCAGTGATCGAGCACGTCGCCGAGGTACGTGTGTGTCATCGGCGTGACGATAACGCCGCTGGCGGGGTTCTGCAGCTCCCGTGCGGCAGCTTCCTGGCTCAGCGGTGTGCGGTGATCGCGCAGGACGTTGACGAGGTTATCGATTGGGTTCAGGAAGGTGAGCATCTTGTTGATTTCCGAGACGCAGATGTAGAGGCTACGCGTCTGCTTCATGTTGGGACTCGTCAGGACGTCCAGTTCGAGGTCGCCAATGACATCGCTGTAGACTGCCGTCAAAGGAATGGCTAGATCGATGATGGCGTCGATAACGGCCTGCACAACCAGTGAAGCGTCGCAGGATTGGCGGAGAATGGTGGCGGGGTCGCCCAGACGGATGGTGATGGGACGCTCAATGTCTTCAGCTGACATTTCGAAAAAGGAGATGACGGTGTTGTCCGACGTCAGGAAGATGGCCACCTGCTCGGCAGAGACGGCGAGGCCGCGTGAGATCAGCGAGGAGTGCCGCTCCATGTACTCGGTGCGCGTCTCATTTGCTGACGCATGGTAGCGCTGGAGGGTCCGCACGAAAGCCGTCTCTGGCAACTGGGACAGGTTGCTCGGGTGGTGGTTGAGAGTGTGCCCATACGGAGTGTTGCCAGTGGACACGCCCGTCGCGTTGCCCTTCTCGGGGTCATCGCGCTTATTGCCAGCCCTGGTGAATGCGCGCTTGAGCTTCTTCTTCCTGGACTTGATCGTCCGAATACTCGCGTCGTCATCCGAGTTGTCATCGCTGCTGCTGCTACTGCTGCTGTCGTCATTGACCAGAAGCACAAGCTTCTGCAGCGTGAGGACGATGAAGGCGTGGTTCGAGTACCAATCCGCCTTTGTCCTGTTGCGCGTGTTCATGATATCCTCAATGGCGAGCTTGTGCAGGCCCTTGTACTGCCCGCACGCCGAGATGACGTCCCAACTGAGTCCGTTGATGTTGATCCAGCGGCACTTGACCCATGGCTCCTGCGGCTTCTTGACAAAGTCGATGAACCCCTCGTTGCCGAAGTTGTGCTTCACCATATTCTCCTGGCTGAAGTCGATCACAGAGATGTCGCAGTCTGCGTGGAGCGTCGGCATCGAGGCGTGGCCTCCATCCAGCTTGTTCGGGTCGAAGCCGGGCTCAGAGCCGGGCTGCCATCCTGGACGCGACAGCTCAAAGTCGTCAAAGTCCTCGACGGGCTTGAACGTGCCGGCGCGACGCCGCAGGGGCGAGATTGCTTGGTCGGTCGATGCGCGCGTCAAGGGCACGCCGATGTTCTCGTTGGGCACCGAGATGCGCACGCCTCTGGAGGGCGGGGGCTGGGCGACGACGTCGGCATAGTCGTGGGCTTCGATATCGAGACTCGGGAACTTGACGTGGCGGGAGGAGGGATCGTCGGGGTCGGTTACTGTCTTGGACAGCGGCTCGCCGTAGGAACCGACGTTGCTTGAGGACGACATGGCGACTGGTGAGGGAGCCAAGGGGGACTTGGTCAGGGCGAATTAAACCATCTAAGTATTATTGAAAATCGAGTTATCGCGTGGCGCGGCCTGCGCTACCCGTGATGATATTCAGGGACTCGCAACAGGCGCCGAGACAATGTCTTGGTCGTGAGTCGACCAGGGTTTCGGGTGCGCTTGGTGGCGTTTGGATCAGCACTAATCTCAGGGACAGCCTTTCAGCTGCGTCTAGAAGCTGAAAGGGTCCAAGGTGAGCGGTAGTTTGTGCATCGCAATGCAACGATGCTCTCTCTTCCCAGTGCGGGTGTTGCGATGAAGTGATGCAGGATGCTTGGATGAATGTGGGTTGAATGGATGGAAACCGGACGAGAAGAAGGGATGTCGTGCGATCTTTCGAGAGGGAAGATCCTACCAAGGTTTTTGTTGCCGAGGGGGAGCCTGTGGCAGGAGGAATCTTCCAGGTCCAGGCGGGTTATTTTTGTCCGCGCTGGAATTCTGCCCCTAAATGACGTCGCTTGGTAGCGAAACCTAAAAACCCGCCGCCGCACCTCCACTGGCCATCATCGCGACGCCCATTGGACGCAGACTGAATGGCTGAGATTAAGCTCTCGGTTGGTGCCGCATAGCCGGTCCAAGCTTCTCCTCACATGTGGGTGTTTTTGAAGTGCGGCCAATGATGGTGAAAAAGCTGTCAGTCTAGACTCTGGAGAAAACTTCAAGCTTTTGCCTAGACAATTCTCCAGATCTCTGTCGGGTTTGGGTGCCGATAGAGGTTGGCAGTGTGGACCAAGGCTGCGCTCTCGGCAAGGCTAAGTGTTGGAGGAAGTGGCTGTTCATCATTGCTTGTGGCCGTCTAATCCTGAATTCTACATACTTCCTCACGAATCCCATCCAATCCTTAGTAAACCGTCAACCAAAAGATAGCGATACCTCCAAACACCAAGTAACCAAACACCCCAAGAATAGAAATGAAGATAGAAATGGAAGCCATTAGACGCCGTTGCCGGCGACGATGGTGTAAGTCTCGCTGCTGTCTCCCTTGCACGCCGCAGTGACCAACCGCCCGTTGTTTCCGGGAACGACGCAGGTGGCCTTGTCGTTGACGGGAGTCCAGACGAAGGTATTGCCCGTGATCTTGACCAGCTGTCCGGTGTTCGTGAGCCCCTCGCCAGCGGCGCGTCCACCGCACGAGAACATGGTGACGGTATCGCCGTCAGCCCGGCGCCCGTCGGTGCTGACGCACCCGTTCGTCAGGCTGCTCACAACCAGCGCCGCGCCGTCCTTGCCGTCGTTGTGCTTGCCCTTGGTCACAATGTCGAACTGTTCGTTGGCCGCCCCGCTGCACTCCACGAGCGAGACCGGGATGAGGTTCTGGCGGAAGTCGCCGGCTGTGGGGTCGATGAAGAGGCACTGGCCGTTGGACGCGCGGATGAAGGCTTTAGTGAACGAGCGAGTCGCGGTGTTGTCGAATTCGTTGGCCTCGGCCGCCGCGGTCGGGTTGAGAGTGCCGCCGGCGCGGGAGACGGGGACGGGGGTCGTGGGGTTCGAGGCGGGGATGTTGCCGTTCTTGGCGCCGTTGTCACCGCCGGTTCCGGCTGCCGGGGCGGCGGATGAGGCTGGTGCAGCGGCAGCAGGGGCGGTCGTCTCGGGCTTCGCGGTTGCGGCAGGTGCCTCGGCGTTTCCTTGGCCAGGCTTGACGGTTTCCGTGGCGGTCATGGTAATGGTGGCATCCTCGCCGCCGCATCCCCCCGCAGCAGGGGCCTCAGTTGCAGCCGGAGCAGCATTCGAGGATTCCGGCTTCTGAGCGCCATTCTGCCCGTCATTGTTGGTGTTTCCGTTGCCTCCAGTAGCACCCCCAGCACTGCCGGCCGCTCCCCCAAAGGTGAAGGCCTGGTTTTGGTCACTGGCGTTGCAATCCGCAATGTCCACGACTGCACCCTTGACGGTAAAGCACTTGCCCTTGTCGTTCTCGGGCTGCAATGCCAGCGGGCCAGCACCGCCACTGAAGGTGAAGAGCTGCGAGTTGGTCACCTGGCCTCCACCATCCGCTCGTCCGCCGCAGGAGAAGAGCAGGACCTGGTTTCCTGCCGCGCGGCGAGGGTCGAAGTTAGCGCAAGCTTGCGTCTGTTCGATGTTAGTGACCATCTCTGGAATGCGGTATTGGGAACGTGACTCACCAAACTGCTGACAATGAGCGCCGAGCCCGCCTGGTCATTGTGCTTTCCAGCTGTAATGACGTCCCAGCCCTCGCCGTCCTTGGTCCCGCACTGCGCAACCTGGATGGGCGTCAGGTTCGCGCGGAAATCGCCCGACAGCTTGTCAACGAATAGACACTTCCCGTCGGCCGTCTTGATCTGGACGTTGGAGAAGGCCCGGGTAGCGGTGGCATCCCGCTGCTGGGCCTCCTTGAAAGCGTCCTCGTTCAGCTCCGTGACAACTCGGCGCTGGACGGGAGTGGCGGAAACAATAGCCGCGGCGTAAGCCAACAGAAGTGCCGATCTGGAAACCATGATGACAGAAGAAAGAATGAAGGTAGGTAAAGTTGAATGAATGAGTGTTAGCGAAAGTGAATAATAGCCTGCTCAGCAGGGTTAGAGGCAAGAAGCGAATGGAGGAAAGAAAGGAATGAAGACCACGAAAAAGAACCACAGTCGATGTAGCGATGCTTCCAAAAGAGAACTCGTGGCATGGTTGGTTCGGCCGCATGGCAGACCTTATACTCAACCTCTCCTGTCGTGGGCCGCAGCCATCCGTCATCTGTCAGCCGTCATCCAAGCGCCATCCCATGAGGCCCCTCGAGAAAGCCATCGCGCCTCCCTTCATCTTGCCATCCCATGTGCATCCTGCGCGTGTTCCCCCAAAGCGCCCAGTTTGAACAGGGTTTCACGATCTTCCTGCCTGCAGCGTGGTTTCGTTTGGTGGCCTGGGCCCGACAAGTCGCGACCTGTCAGTGGGCACTAAGGTAGGTAGGCAAGGTCAGTTGGCCTGCTGTCGCCCGCAGTCACCCCTGTAGCACATCACTGAGCGGCCGTCCGAACTCGTTCAACGGGTAGCTCGGAGCTAGACCTGGTGACACAGAGACAGCCTCCGCCGTCGTCGTGCTTGGTTGCCCACTGTCGCGGTAGAGATGGAAGCTCAGGGGTTCAATTACGCGCAGGACAGGACGAGGGGGACTGTTGGTTGGGATGGCCCGGCGCGTGAAACGGCTCGTGTTGCAGGGCGGCAGATCCTGAAGGGATGGCGCGGTGCTCGTGGCGGAGAGATGAGACGGAAAAGGGAAAAACGGGAGAAATCCCATCGCGGTGAGAATTAAGATAAGGTCCGCGCTTGTTCGACCCCTGCCTCCTGGGGAAATGATTGGACGGGAGGGCTGCCGGGCGCGTGGGGTCTCGGTCGGTGCCGGCGGGCGGGGGCTTGGTGGGCGCTTGCCGGACTGTCGGGCCATCATCCACGTACCTTAACTTGAGGTGGTGTAGAACCCAGCTTGCGGGTGCTACTTTAAAATGGCCATGTGCCTGGAGATCTATTCAAGCTTAATGTTTGACTTGAGCCTCGTCAGACAAGCGCTTGTGTGACGCGGGTGTTGCAGTGTCAGTCGGGAAATTGCCTCTAGCATTTCTCGGCCATGCCATCGATGACATCGACGAGTAGCACATACGGGATTGATGCAGCGGTGGTCTCCGAACGCGCGTAGAATATTTATAAGGATTATTAGTATTATTTAGATTGTGACATTTCAGTTCGTCATCAATCATCATTGCATATACATAGCTAAGCTCAATGCTCCCATCATTTTAGACTCCTGTCATCCCATATTGACTTGACGTAGTTCATTGCGTCCCCATTCTATCATACGCTGGATGCCGACCTTAATGCGGCTTTGGCGGTGGGACCCAGTACCTTTGAAGAGCGAGTTAGCGGACAGGTGTGATCATCAAGGCATTCAAGATCGGGTACTCACTTGCCGTATAACGCATTCCATCCAGCTTGCACCAGGCTGTCTTTTCCTGAACGGTCGCCGGAACCAGTCCAGTACATCAGGCCACCAAGCTTCTTCATCTTGGCGTAGTTCGCCTTGAGTGTCACAACTCTCGGCGTGTCGAAAGTGACGAAGCCGTTCACCGGGTCGACGTACGAAGCAGCGATGGCCGTCTCGTCAACGGATGCCTTGTCGACCCACTCCTGCGGTAACTCGCTGTAGTCCATTTCGCCCGAGCCTGTCGGGCTCTGTCCAGGGCCCTTGGCCGACGGGAACGTACGCGCGTAGACGGGAATTCCCATGACGATCTTCCGGCTGGGGAATCCATTGGCCGTCAGGTACTCGACGCCGTCTGAACAAGCAAGCTTCAGCTCCGCATCCTTGGTAGCCAGCGTTGACGAGGCAAAGAGCTGGGCGTGGTTGCCAGAGACGGAAGCCCAGGGACCCGTCAGGTCGTAGCACATGAGGTTCATGTAGTCGAGCACAGCGGCCGCCCGCTTCGCGTCAAAGTTCCTCAGCGTCCACTGCGCCGGCGGGAGCGCTGAGGTGAGCTGATACCTGCCTGCCGGCATCTCGGCACGGACGGCTTCGAGGAGGGCAATGTAGTTGCTCCCCATGGTCGGGTCGGTAGGATGCTCCCAGTCAATGTCGACACCATTGAACTGGTACTTGTCGACGAACTCGTGGATTGCCTTTGCGAAGCGGGTGCGGGCTTCGGCGCTTGCTGCCATGACGGGGAACTCCCTGCTGTTGTTGGCACCGCCAACGGAGATGAGGGTCTTGAGACCAGGGTTTGCCGCCTTCACCTTGGCCAAAGCCATGAGAGCGCCCGGCGAGCCGTCAACCACCAAATCATTGTCGGCGTGGCTGTCAATGGCCTGCAGAGACCCGTCCGTGTTGACTCCAATGAAGGAGTACAGGACGTGAGTGACCAGGTTCAGCTCCATCTTGGCAGGCGTCTGGCCCTTGTAGGCGTGCCAATTGGGGTAGTAGATCATGTTGACGAAGCCGTTGTCGCACATGACGGGCTGTATGAAGCTGGAGACTGTGATGATGCTGAAGATGAAGAATGCCAGGCGGCTCAGCGATGTCGATGTTGATGTTGATGGGGCGGCGCGGGGGAGGGGGAGGGGTGGCCTGGCGGCCGTCGCGGGAGCTGCCGTCATTTTGTAGGGGTCGTCCTGGGGCGCTGTGGGGTACTGACGTCGTGGGCTTAGGGGCTGTGCCTGCCGTCCTTCCCGCTGTCTGGTGCCTGAACAGCTCGCTATTGGGGGAGAGCTACAGCTGTGTGTGGGGCGCTGAGCTGACCAGGTGAGGCGGCACGGGGAACTTCTGCCGGAAGGAGAACGTAAGTCCTTCCTTCCACCTTCAAGAACCTGTTTTCAGGAGACGTCCTTTCAGAATTTTTCTTCTGGAACGTGTCGACAACCGATTTTCTACTTGACAGAATTCCGTTTCCGTGCTTCGAAACAGAGATTCTTATACCGGCGTCGAGGTGAGATCGCCTCCGAACCCGACAGTCCAGCGCCGAGAGTTCTTGATTGACGATTTGATTGCCAGCAGATATCCGGGCGAGACAGAGGTCGTGAATTCCGGAATATGCAGCCCCGAATTAGTCGCTTCGGCCTTTGCTGAGCGATGACACCTTGAGACGCGGCACAGTGATTGCAAACGCGGAGACCAAACGGCCGTCGTCTTGATCGGGCGGGACGGTAGATCGGCTGCTAGACCGCAATCGTCTTGTCTTGTCAACTCGTGTCAACTCCTCAACTAAACCACCAAGACCGTGCGGCAAGCAACAAACGAGAGAATAGAACAGAAAAGAGAGGCTGGTTATGGGCCAAAGATCCAAGAGATTGCCCTTTTACTTATAAGGGACGAACAACCGCTAGGTGCACGATGTCGACTCTCCGACTTGGCGAGGTCCATGCCCTCAGGACAAGCCCACGATGCCCGCTTCACCTTCAGAGGCGCATGCAGGACGGACGATGCCATGGTCATGACAGCACGAAGGGCTGAGAGGGAAGCTCTCGGTCGCCCCCCAACATCAGAATGCCTTTACGGATGCGCACCAGGAATAACAACACGGCATGCGGTCAGCATCCGCTCAGGGACATCAGCCATATTCGGTGCCTGGAAGGCATCGTGAAGTTGGCAGTCGCCATCGACCGCCCACGGATTCGAAATTGCAGCTTTTCGGCTGATGCATTTTACCGGCAGAATTCGACTCTGCATATGGCGGGAGCACGCAATCCAGGTACCGCGTTTAGACGGATGGTATTGGTGGCATCGAGGCACTTGCAGGAACCGCATATTGGGGTGACATTGACATCTCGGCGTCAAGTACGACAACAATCAGAACGAAACCGCCAAGAAAGCCGTGCTGATGACTCTGGTTGATCAACTTGAAGACCGCTGGACGTCCGGAATTCGCGCTTTTGTGGCAGTACCATTGGAGCAAACGAAGTCGGGCCTTCGCGTTATCTGCGATCGCGGCCAAGAAGAAGGGCAATGGGTCGTTTGATTTGACTCTCTTCCATCGAGGTCCAGACCTGTGGAAGGTAGCTTACGACAAGCTCGCATTATTGCTACAACAACAGCCACGGAAGGAGCAAGGCGTTTGCTGACCGAGGCCTGAGCGAGCTGACGATGCCCAATTCATCGTGACTACGATCCGTCGATTGGCACGGCCCAAGATCTCCGCAAGCCACCGGTAAGACCTCAGAGTCAAAAGTTGTCAGCTTTCAAGCAAAGCAGGCCAAGAGAGAATTAGCAACAAGCATCTAAGTCTCAGAGAGTGCACTGCCGTCGAGGTGCGGTCCTTTTGTGCGGGGCCTCCTTTCTTCTTTCAAGCGTTTCCCAACGAGATTCTATGTTCACGAGAGAGTCAATTATCTACTTGATGGCGGCTGATGTATCCGCGAGCAGAGAATGGTAACAAATCGTTTCAAGGGAAACAGCAAGCCGATGGAGTTCATCCTCACCAATCGTCGACGACCCGCGGTGCTTCAATTGGCAACGTTTGATGGCCATCTGTGTCACGGATGCGACGATGTTTTCTGTGGAAAATGGCTTGGTTCATGGGCTGAATCTCTCCAAATCCCTCATGGCAAGACTTGTCACATCACCCTCAACCTTCATCTCCGTAAACTGACGCAGTGTCGATGCAGTATTTCGGGCATGATAGACACGAGTACCACTTCTCTCATGCCGAGCACGACTATCCCTCTGGCAGCCCTCTATTAGCAATCCAGAGATCAGACGCTGTGCAGGTTCCTCCCAACTGCAGCATATCGGAAAACCACATCGGGGCTTGGAATACTTCGTGTGGAGGATGAGCTAGAACCATGCGGATTCTCAGAACACGCCTGCGCCATTGGCGGAACGAGAGGTGCGGGCTACGCTATGATTCTAGCTCACCCGACGATGCGGACGAGCGTTACCAAAAAGGATGCACACTCGAGTGTGGTTGAGCATATCTCCATTCCCGTTGAGGAGACCGGCGACCCCAAGGATCGTGCCATTCTTGCGCACCGGAGAACAGCGGACCTTCTGGACTGATGCGGACGTCCGCGTCGGCTCCGTGTAAACCACGAGTGCGCAACCACGTTCTTCTGCACTGCTAGCCGTGGTTCTCGACATGCATTTTCGGCGCTATGTTCAGTCTAAGCTGGGTGACAACACAAGCGGAAGACACCAGCGGCCAGAGACAGCCATCAAACTCCCAAGACTGCATTTGGCTTCATTTGGCTTCATTTGGCTTCATGCTAGAAGAACCGCTTGGAAATTCTCGGAGTAACTGCAGTCAGTCTCGATGCCACCTTACGAATCGTGTTCGCGGTAGCAAAGCTTCGACAACGGTGCGGTGGTCTAGCGACTGTCGTATTAGCGATGTGCGCACGCGATCGTTGGGCACTGGAAGTCTGGGCGATTCTATACTACTCCTGATATGGCATCGAAACTTTCATCAACTCGTTTTGAATTGTCGCATGAGGTCCAGAAAATAGCATTCGGCGCTGAGCCGATGGCAATGTGGTTCTGGCTTGACTCGTTAAGGGGTTCGTATTGGGCTGTCAATTTCTAAACGAAGACGTCTTGGCAAACTATGCGGTGCGGATCTTGAAACCTCATTGTCTTTGATTCAGATGCGCGTCTTGGCGACATCGGGGTATCCGGTGAAAACGAGGATATGTTCCCGGCGGACGGTGGACTACTCCGCACTGAACCGGACTCTTGGGGCCGTTGTCTCTGATGATGGCGTTGGTGGTGGCAGCCGTCTACCATGCCGCCGCCCGTCATTCAACCCGGCTGTCGATCTCGGGCAACAGCAGGATCCCGTGAACCGAATGCTACTTCGTCAGCTCACCGTTTGTGTCCAATCGCCTCATCAGTTACCAAGACACCGTTATTCGACAATTGATCTGGGCAAAGGAGATCAAGCCGGGCGATGCCATTACGAGAACCAACACCACGCCTGACGTGTTCTTGCATCGTGAGGAGAAGCCGCCCGCTCTTCCCTCAACACGGGGCTGACGTCAAACCAGGTCTTGTCCTATGTCTCAGAAACAATATGTCTCCACTCGGCCCGCCGAAGGGAATGACGGTCGCATTCGTTCTCGAGGCGTCGTTTTCACGGGGATACCTGGGGTACCATTGTGCTCTCACCACAGTCTCAGCCCGACGGTCGTCATTTCTTTTTAGTGGTCTCGCGAAGGAAAGCCTGGCCGCGGAACTGCAAGCTGACGAGTGCGGTCTGGAAAAGTCGCCTGATCCTGTCTGCAGTATATTCAGTCTTACAGTCTGCAGATGCAAACAAGCATACATAACGGCTGCCGATCGTGAGCATGGGGAAGATGCGTCGGTAGTTGCTTCATTGCGCGGGCAGCCTGATTGATGACCTTCAGCGAGAAGATGAGATGCCGCGCCGGGTCAGCACGTCCTCCCTCCCTCTCCTCCGGGGCCCTTTGTTGTCTTGTCGATGCATCACAAACCGGGAAATCAGCGCACCCTCGGCAGTGGTGGCACCAAGACCAACGGGACCAACACACCAACACACCAACACACCAACACACAATCACACGCAGACGCAGTGCGATGCGGGGTTCCGACGGGCTGGGGTCGCCCCTGGCAAGGTTGTCTAGCTTTTATCAGCCAAGAGTCTTGGCCCCCAAAGATGGAAACCTCTGAAATTTAGGGGACCCAGGGCCTTGAGTCTGATGTCGCAGTCGCAGACCCAGCATCATGGTTCTATTTTGCCGGCGCACGAAATGATTTCTCCAATCCCCGTCCCAAAGTCAAAGTTTAAGCGGTTCAACCAGTCGGCAGAGAGCGAAAATAACCATGTTCAGGTTCATCTTTTGTTCCGCCATGATGGTGGCGTAGAGCGCTACGCTTGTTTCAGCCTCTACCGGCTCCCGACCTCCCTCTTTTCTTGCATTTGCGCAGAGTTATGAAGGCAGACGAACTGCATCGGCGAGTGGGCAGAGAACTGAAAACTTGCTCTGGCCTGCAGCAAACTGCAGCTATGCAGCAGCACCGAACTGCTCGAGAACATGCGCTCACGGTCTGCATCCGGTGCGAAAACGCGAGCAGGGATTATTCTCACCCGACCGTCAGCAGCTGCGCAGCAAGCACACAGAACAGCAAGCCGAAGCAGAAGCAATTTGCACTGTAGCCTACCTACGAGTCTTCGGCGTCCAAGACATTCCCCATCAGCTCAACACGTCCCGCTCACTCAGCAATGATGGATGGAAATCCACAAGTCGCCTCTGCCAAGTCACTATGCAGACCGAGAGACCCGATCCTTGACTTGGGGCTGAAAAGCTTCATGGTCTGGGAGAGCTAAGAGGGTCTGACTCGCCGCAAGTCGCTGCCGTCGACGCTGGGCAGACTGATGACACGACAGGCCAAGCTTTCGGTCGCACCATGACAGGTCTGAAAGAAGGAGGCACTTTTGGCGCTCTATGCGCCCGGTGGAGGAGCCAAGATTTCCGTCCCAACGTTCGCCTTGCTCTGTACGGATGAGTTGCGACATCTTCAAGGCGAGAGAGGGCACATCTCACATCCCATGACGAATGGACCCAACATTAGTTGCACAACAGACTCGTATTCCACGCCCGGCCGAGTCCTCTTCTGGGCTCCGGGGTCCAGAAGGCTTTGGGACGATCACCATTCAAGACCTTCGAGTGACCAGTGACAGCGGTTGCTTAGGCCTTGGCATACGTTCCGATGCATTAGCACACTCACCGACCACAACACTTTGAGTGTGGTAGACGCCGGGCCTTTGGCCGTCCCGGGACGACTCATCGTTCAGCCTGCTGCCGTCTGACATAGCACACCGTCTTATCTTGCCTTCTTTTCTTTCCTTTTCCCCTTTCGAACCCACGCGCTGGAAAATACGTAGCGTTACCGCATCGTGGGCGCACGTTGTTGGCGCTAGCGCTAAGATGTTAACCTTGCCATCCGTTCCATCCCACCTCGAAGCGAAGTCGACTAAGATAATCCCAGATAATCAGCGGGACGATCTATCATTATCCGCGGTGGGCTGTCAGGCATCCGCATCCCGCCGCCCACATTTCCTCCACGCCTCGAGGTCCTTTTCAGCCCGACGGCGCATTCGCAATGGGGCGATGAGGGGGAGAGATGGATTAAGCGCGAGAGAGCCTCTGACTCCCTTTCCGTTCTCTCAAGGACCTGGTTCGGCAATCGATTCGCGCTATTGCCGTATCACCTAAGCAGCATCAGCAGCAGCAGATGCAACCGCGCCACACTGCAGCGTCCGTGTTGTTGCGACTTCCGACTTCCTCTGGCGGCCTTGGTGCCATTGGGCATGCTCCCCTCAGCACAAGCATTTTCTGCGACGAGAACATGTTTCCGTGCTGCGACAACGACCCCGTGAGAGGCCACCACCCCAAGTTTCCAACAAACCCCTTGAGCAAGGAACCAGCACAATAGAGGGCTTCGAAAGGCCTCGGTATGGTTTGGCAGTTCCGTCGGTTTCTTGGTACTGGGACCATCGTCAGGAGATACGAACTACGGTCTTTCTCCCGCAGCGGCGTTCCAATAGCCTCCACAAGTTGCCATGGTCCATCCCGAGACAGCAACGACGTGCGCTTGTGGCTGACTCCACCCTGCCAAAGTTTCGCGCTGATCCCTGTGTTCCCTTGCGGTGCGGCGTGGACGTCAACGTTCGACCAACACTCTTTCAGTCGAGCACACACACTCCTTTCAACTCCGTTTACCTAGTGCCGTTCGTGCCCATCCCAGCCATCTCTGACGGACGAACCTGGATGCCTAGTTTTCAACTGTGCCGCACTCTTTGGCCGACTTACAAGCTATCCCTGTCGACGTTGACGGAATGACAGACATTCGCACCCCAGGCTCGGGCGTGGTTCATCCCCACTCCTCCGCCATATTGACAATCTCTCCTTCTCCGATCCCGCGTCGTCTACCTACGGAAACCAGCTGCATACAGCCCATGACCATGGAATTCCGTCAGCTTAGAAGTCTCTAAGCCCTCTTGACGTCAAAACGTACAGCACATTGCACATATCCTCCCACCGCTGGTCCTCTGTTACCCCAGCTTGCCTTGCTCGGGCTCTCGTATCGGAGCCTCATCGGGTCTTTTCCTTCATGCCCCGCCAAGATCATCAAGGCGCCCCAGGGCTGAACGGACCAGGGCCTTGAAGCAAGTTCAGAGGGGAAGCAGACCGTCATCGTCCCGTTCTCTCAATTTTCTAGGTGCGATTGGGTAAGGCAATCTATCCGCCCCTCCGTGACCAGGCTGTGTATGGTTCTCTAACCGGAGACACCTTGGAGTCTATTCTGGGAGGGGCCCAACCCGACCCACGAAGGTCTTGGCTCTGGGTCCCTTCATGAACTCAGACTGGACTGTCCATGGTTCCTCATGCAGGTTTTCTCCTTTGCGTCCCATCTTGTTATAAGTTGATCCATTCTCCCCCTCGTGTTTCCGAACTTCTTGCATCTTCATCCTGCAAGCCACTCACTTTTCTTATACCCATCAGCGTCTGAGCTTTACCACAGACTGTAATTATCTGAATTCAACACAAACATCCATTTTCACAATGCAGATCACTTCCTCTCTCCTGAGCGCTGCGGCTGTCGCCGTCCTCGCCGGTACCGCAAACGCAACGTACGTCCCATAATTTCCCCTGCTCAACTGTCCAACTTTCACATGAGACTAACACCCTCTCAGCCCAGTCACCCGCCGCGCCGCTGCGGGACAGGTCGTCTCCCAGTGTTTCCAGCCCGGCCTCGTCGCACTCACCTTCGACGACGGCCCGTTCCAGTTCACCCCCCAGCTTCTCGACATCCTGAAGCAGAACGACGTCAAGGCGACCTTCTTCGTCAACGCCAACAACTTCGGCAACATCGAGACGGTGCCCAACCCCGACACCATCCGCCGCATGCGCGCCGAGGGCCACATGGTCGGCTCCCACACCGGCACCCACCCGGACCTCCAGACCATCTCGACAGCCGACCGCCAGGCCCAGATGGTGCAGGTCGAGGAGGCCACCCGCCGTATCGACGGCTTCGCGCCGCGCTACATGCGTGCGCCCTATCTCTCCTGCCAGGCCGACTGCCAGGCCGACCTCGGCGCCCTCGGCTATGTGATCGTCGACACCAACCTCGACAGCAAGGACTACGAGAACAACACCCCCGAGACCACCCACCTCAGCGCCGAGAAGTTCAACAACGAGCTCAGTGCCGACGTCGGTGCCAACTCGTACATTGTTCTCTCCCACGACGTTCACGAGCAGACCGTCGTTTCGCTCGTGCAGAAGATGATCGACACCCTGAAGGGCAAGGGGTACCGCGCCGTCACGGTCGGCGAGTGCCTTGGCGATGCTCCCGAGAACTGGTACAAGGCCTAGATGAGAGGCGACGTTTTCTTGCTTATGATACCCTTACGGCTCTCGAGGACACAAAAGAGGTTCTCGGAAGGGGCACGGGAGGGAACAGTTTGATTCCGAGAGCGCATTTTGGTTTTCTCTTTTTCGGTTCTGCTATGTCCTGGCTTGTACATACCCATAGACGTATACCACAGTCACATCAAGTCATGGGTGGGCATGGAGCGGCGCCAGGAAACAACGTAAATATTTCTTCTTCGTCGGAGATACCATATATCTATTACAGTAATTAGATGAGAAGCCCCGTACTTTCAACTATTTCTCAGTGTCAACCCCTTCGTGAACCCGCGCTTCTTTCTGACTGAGATTAGGAGGTGGCATACGAAACTGCACCGCACAACATCACGGCCAACCCTTGCTCAGTAAGTAAGCCACAAGTTTTCTCCCAATACGTGAAGTTGGCCAGTGAGGTGATGACGTGCCCATCCTGGTCTGGACCACGCCGTGCCTGAACCCAAACGGTCCTCGACAGAACTCAAAAATTTCTTGCTTCTTTACCCCTTACCTCAGCGTTTCTTCAACAGCCCTCACGGATTACATAAACGGAACCAGACACAACACAAAGCTTGTCCTTACCTGTCTTGAACTCTGTTTCAATTTATTTATTCAATTCATTCGTTTTTCTTTTCGGGGTCTTGTGTGACTGCCCTACGAGGACGGGGACTAATGCGCCATGGCACTTGGCTTTTGGGGGAATGCATATCAATACTTGGCGAAGCATTACTATCCGCCTGCTTGTCTCGCAACGCGTTGGCGCTTGTTCTTCCTGCCGACGCAGATCTCTGTGCTGTGCACGTGTGTGAGGCCCGAGGTGCCTGGAGCTAGAGCGGTGCTCAGCCTTGAGAACTCTGTGTCTCTCAAGTAGTACGTATCGACAGTACCTCTGCAATCACCTATCAGGTCGGTGCCATTCGGGTTGCTTGGTCCCGTCGGGTTTTTAAAGTTGTACCTTGCTGCGTTAGTAACCCTCAGCTCAGCCTTGGGCGCTGGTTTGTGGGAGGGTGTCTAAAATAAGGTGCTGCGCCAAGATTCATTCCTTCTGCAATCCTTTCGGACTTCCTTGCGCGCGCGGACGCGGGCTTTATCGGATCGGGCGCGCGGGGCGGAGTAGAATGGCACTAACGCGGATGTAAGCGCTTGGGCGACCGGGGACGGGGCCGGGTGGGGCCGGGGTTTGCCCGAGTGCTGTGGTCTGCTTCGGCGGGCGTGTTGGTATTTCTCGTTGGCCCACGAGTTGAAGGATCATCAGTTTTCCCGTCGATTTATCTGAGGGATTTGTTGGAATTGCATCGATTTAGTGGCGAGGGGATTGCGAGGTCTGAAGGCTGAGCTCCATCACCGGTGCTAATTGCGCGAGCATCCTCAGGATGAGAAGTACAGTACCAAACGGCATTATCGCCACCGGGATCAGAATCAACAAAAAGCCTCCTCTCGTTCACTTGACCTTTTTGGTGCCTATTGGCGCCGTTTTGGAGCTTAGAAGCCACGCCGTCAGCTTGAGTTGGCTTGCAGAGCAAGGGCCTGGGAGACGCTGAAGTCAGCTGGAACGCTCTCGGTTTCCATGTATATATGGTTTATCATACCATATTCGATACCTTCTAGTCGTTGATTTCTTAGATCTGTTCACCTCTCGTGTAATAGCATCGGAGTATGACAATGTCTGCAACGTCTTACCAAGGTAGAGGGACCCGTAGTAGAGGCCGGTGGAGAGCTACCTTGATGCGACAGCGATGATGAAGAAGCGGCACTTCTTATCTCTGGCTTTGGGGTCATTGATCGCATTACGCAATACGGAGAGCTTTGGGTCGGGAAACACCAGCGCATACACGACCCCATAGCAGGCAAGGGCTCTCAAGGGCTCCTGGGCATTAATTGGCTCATCTGAGACCTGTTGAAGGAATAAGGCAGGTTAGATACTAATCATGAGACCGCAAGTGGCCTTCAAGCTTCAATTCTTTCTGTTACAATAAATTCTAACGATTGTATCCCTGAGGCCAGAACTGAGGGAGGTATCCTATACGACCAGTTCCCACGACGGTATTCGCGAGTGCTCATACGATAACGTTACCGTCGGATCTTAAGCGGACGGCATCAACTCAAATGAACATGGGCAGCGCGGTTTACCTTTCTGATGTCGTGGGCAGAGATCATGTCTGTCGGGGCAGGCGAGGCTGTCACAGAACTTCTCGTGTGAGTCTTCGAATGTACCATAGCCATACCTTTCATATGAAAGTGGGAGACATAAACAAACCCTACTCTGAGAAGCATGGGTACTTACTGGATTTTTAAGCCGCTCGGTCGACAAGCACACAGCACAATTCCGAAGCAAGAGGTAGCAAGTAAGGGCAACAAGATTAAAGGGGAAACAAGGAGAATGACGAGTTTAATCCGGTTCGGCATCCGAGGCCGAACGGAGAACCTCTAAACAGGGTGACACATAATTTTAGGGGTTTCTAGCAGCTGGCAGAACTCTCTTTCGGCGGAATATTGTTTATCTGATGCATCAAGTAAGTTGTATACATGATGCTCAATACCCTGTTTTACCAACAACGTACCTACCTACATTCCGGGCAGTTCCGACTCACAAGCCGTGTCGATACATATGGGTCTGGATGATGATGATCGCTAGATGGCACGCACACCAGAACATAAAGATGAGAGAGCCATGTCATTTGCAAAGTTCTGTGTATTCGCTCATTGTGCCACCGACGGTAGCACTCGTTATCAATAACGTCGCTCCACGCTTGGGTGAGCAACGTTCTAGTGGTATCAGGTATTAAATAACACGGATTGCCTCTTGCCATATAATGTCCCTTTGTCAACCAATCTTGACTGATGTCTTCTGCGTCTCAACGACCTGGGTTGTTAACCACTAGATCTCTCGTGCTGTGCCTCGGCCTTCCAAGATCACATCGGCGCTACTGTTTGATCCTCCGTGGACTGTCTCTCCTCTTTGACGCGGTCCATAATTAGGCATGTGACGTCTTCGTTTGCTTCGGTGATCTTCCTTGACACCCTCCGAAGTTCGTCTCCCTTGTCGGTAGTGGCCTGTTTGCGGCCAGTTCGATGCTGCATAGTACTTGCAGTCATTGGATTCCGTTCCATATCACAGTCAGAACTCAGCCATCATGCCTCTTCTTTCATCTTCAACATGCTTCTCGTGCTGTCGTTGCCCCTTGAGCTGCCAGAACAAGGCTCCTCCTTGAACTCGATTCGACTCTTCGGTGTTTTCGGTGTGCTTGGTGTATCTGGCTCTAACGGGAGGTCGTTGAGGTCGATATTCCTAAAGTCTCCGACCAAATGGGCTATTGATGCTTCCTCGTAGGACACAACCCGTGCTCGCTCGGGGGGACTGGATATGGTTCTGGAGGCTTGGGACTCGTTGTTAGATCCCTTTGCTGAGCGTCCAGTCCTCGAGAGTTGTGTTACTATCTTGGGGAAGAGGATTCGCCAGACTTGGCGAGTACTCGGTAAACAGGCAACGAAGATGCCCACACATAGTTCAATGTGTGACCAAAGTGAACTTTGGAAGGAGTCGGCTACGTTATGTTAGTGTGACTCACATATTGCGGGCATTTGAGGCTTACCTGTGACGTTGTAAGACGTCGAGAAGATTAATAATGCCTTGACCCTATACGCACTGACTGCTGTGAGGCTACTCATGGTCAGCACTAACATCGTTGTGTCCAGGTTAGGTCAACTCACAATACCCCAACGCCGAACATGAGCATCACTCCAAGTTTTCGCATGAGCGGCATCCTCAGATCATAGACCTGGGTTGCGGGTAGAACGAGCATCCAGACGTCCAAGGCAACGTTGAGAGCGCCGTGGCACATGGCAAAGGCGTTCAGGTTGATGCATTGGCCCTTCATCTCCCCGGTCCATCCATCCCAAAAGTAGTGAATAGGTTGGCACGACCCAACAGTGCCTCCAACGAACGCGATGAGGAGGAGCAGGTTGAACATTTGCGTGCACCAGAGTACTCGTCGGAATTTTTCGTCCGGGAAGATGCGTAGATAGAGAAAGAGAATCGATGCTTTGACGAAGGCAAGAGCGGTCAGGTAGAGCATCCCAAAGACATAGAAGAGCTGGGAAGTATTAGTTCATCATCCCAGAAATATACAGGTACTCCATCTGTGAACTCACCACCAAGAAGTACGTGATTTGCTCGGGAGTAAGACTCCAAATGTCTCGTCCAGCGCCTGTCTCCTCAGCTAGGAAATGTCAGTGAAAGTGAGCAACAAAACGAAGCGTTTGGGTTCCTTACCAAGATAGGCTGCTGGTAAGAAGGCTGCAAGAACACCCTAGGTGAATGTCAGAGGACGTCACTATCAAATCAGGCAGCAATGTCATACATATGCGACAAGACAGGTCGTGTCGTCCCAGCCCCATGGCGACAGCTTCATGTACTTATTCGTGATTCGTACGATGATGAAGAACGTTGGAAGGCCGAAGAGAAGAGCTCTGAACCACTGCATAACAGTGTCTTGTTGGGCCGGAGGCACACCACAAGCTGCGAGCGACTGGTTCTGGGCGACTGCAAAACCGTCAATATGCTACCTTTATGATACCGTTACGAGGTTGGAGTTCTCACCCAGCATCTCTTTGACTGTGCAGTTTGCCATGACGCAAGTCTGCACGTACCCAGCGAGAACCTTGTCGTTACACATGCATGTCTGGTTCGTGAGGGCACATGTCGAGTGCCCTGCCCCGATCTCTTGAAGAATGCAGGATATCTAGATCCCGTCAGCAACAGCGAACCAAACATTCCCATCGATCATCCTTACCGCGCATGGAGGGATTCCGTTGTATGACAGGTCGGCGGCAGCGACGTAGCTGCTCAGGCCGAGGAAACAGGCCAGCAGGACGAGAAACCGAAAGGCGGCCATGTTGCGTTCGTATCCCCTTCCTCAACCCCCACAATACCGTTCGTCGTTGTTGTCGTCGAGAGCGTTTGTCGATGGAAAACTCTGTCCACAAGGGTCCGACAAGCAGGAACCAACGTCAAGGTAAACCTCGGGAAGCAGTCTTGGCCATGGTGCCAACAAGACCTACAGATATTGGAGGAAAGGGAAGAAGGCAAGGACCAGCATTTAGCGGGACAATCTTTCCCCAGAAAGCACGTACTGACGGCTGTCAATTTGCCCAGCTAACTTAGCGGGCTAGCCTAGGCCCTGGATCCAAAAGCTGTGCACTGGTTTGTGGCTTTCTTACTTCAGTCCCCCCTCTCTCTTTCTCAAGGACACACAACACAACACTGCATTTCACCGGCCGCTGTAGCCGGGCGGACCGGACACGCGAGCGCTCAATGATCGCCTCCGCGGTAATTGGCCCGGCTTGCCTGGGTTCCTTTGCGTTTGCGGAGGGGGTGTTGGCTAATTTCACACTTTGCCCTTTCATGTCGGACCAGTTCCTTCCTCACTGGTCGCTCCCCCTGCCCTCGCGTAGCCGAAGGACGCCGCGGCTGAGACCATCAAGAAGTCTACAAGGTGCAAGTGCTTTTCGCCAGCCGAGATGGGAAGATGGCGTCTGATGTGTGGCCCCATAACAAGCCAGTACTCGAGCTAAAGCAGAAGCTTTGGCACTCGGGATCCCACATCGGCGTGGCGAACATGGAGCTAAAGTGAGACTAGCTGCGGGCTGTGCGCGCCCAACGCAGGGGCATCGTGACGTTTGCGGAATGTTGAGAGTATCTTCTCAAGAGGAATGCCGTTCGCGGGCACCCAGGCGTCTTGGCATGTGAACGGAAGCATTGGACCTGAAAATGTCCAGGGTCGGTAATTTCTTAATGGAGCCTTTCTCGAGGTTGGTAGCGATCAATTATTGGAGTTTGAGAACAATGGAAAAAACCGGCATGGCAAGCCTTTTGCTGACAACCACTTCAGATGCCTCTCCATGATCTTCAGAGCTTGATCCAAACAGTGGAAGTTCGCCAGCACGCCTCGTGGTTGCGGGGCGTCAGCACGTGATGGCGAGCTAGGAGAAGAATGCAGGAGGGGTCTTGTCTCATTGTTGTTACCAGCTTTCTGGTCCTTGGCCTCCAGCCTCATTGAGGCGGGCAAATTGGACCGCGAAGACCCCGACAGGAAACGAAGAACCGTTTGCCGGTGAACACTGGACTTTGGACGATGCAAGCCCAATAAGTGCCGTAGACACATGGCTTAGCTTGATGAGGATACCAAAGTAGTATGCTGTTTCGCCGTTTAAGGCTGGTCTTCCGAAAACTCGTTTAAGCGAGCTGTCGATGCGGTTCCAGATTCCTGGGTTCGTCCCATCCCAAGATGATCATGCGCTGACAAACTCTGAACAAGGTAGGGCAGGCTTTTGAGAAGGCGGCGGGCGTGGCTCTCCAAGTCTGCGCAGCCACTGATTCATCAAAGAATGCCTATGGTACCGCCTTGCGCTTCTCCACGCATCATAAGTACGCCATTTTGCCTCCGGTTCCTTTATCTTCGGTTGATCTGAGCGTCAACGTCTTCTGCCTCCCGAGAGACACATCGACAATGAGGCGGAGGATCCTGCCTCGATGCTGAATGTTGGCATTTCGCAAGAACCATTGACAAAGAAAGTTGATGGTGATCGAGAAGCGACATTCCAGTCACAAGTCGTTGCTGCGCATTCATCCTCATTCCGCGTCTCGTAAGGTCCATCGAGGGCAGTTTCGCTTGTGGCTTGAGGCTGGGTGATACCGCCATGTCCATTTCGATGTGCAGTCTCTTTCATCGGACGCTGTAGAAACCAAATACCACCATGCGGCGAGAAGACTGCCCCGGAGTAGTTTTCTAGAGACGAGCTCCGGACAGAGTGGGTCAAACTCTCGGGTGCTGGCGGGGCCTCACGGTATCGGACTCCCGGGTCTCTGCTTGCGGCCGGAGCGGTTGACCCAAACAGGCAATGAGAAAGAAGCTCAGGCTTCAGAAATTTATTCTTGCGATGTGTCAGTCAGTATGACGCTACCCGCTAACAGCAAAATCAAGATAGCTGTAAGATGCTGCAATCGAAATAAGAGACCAAGTCAAGTAAGTTTCTGGCTCACAACGCAAAAGTCAGACCGGTGAATCAATGGGCCGCGCAATCCAGAACACTAAAAAGCAAAAGAGAATATTCCCAGGTGGAATTTAACCACTGAATCTCCCCGAGGTGGGCTCGAACCACCAACCTCCAGATTAACAGTCTGACGCGCTAGCCAATTGTGCCATCGGGGATGAGCTCAATCGAGCTGATTGGGATTTCGTTGAGGACGCAGCTCGAGTTGGGGCTTAAGAAGGCCACGTGTGATGAAGACCGCTCGGTTGTGCGAGTTTCAAACCCTAGCTGGCGGAGTGGCAGGTTTTTATGAAGCAGTGACAGTCGTGATTGGCGGTGCAGAGAAGAATTGACCCACGCTGATGTGTCATTGTGTGGCCCGGCCTCAGTCATTGTCTGTGCCTGCATTGTGTTGGTTCATGGGGACCTGGAGGCTTTCACGACTCAGTCTGGCTTCAAACTGATGCACCACCTCTTCTCAGCAAATAAAGGTTGCCAAGCTGTCCATCAGTGACCCAACGTCAACCTGGAAAAGCCGCGGGAAACTCACAATTTCAGGAGAGAAAGGAATTGTTGAGCTGCTCATTCTCATTAGCCATGTCTCACTTCCCCTGAGCTCGTGCTCACAGGCAGTAATTCTGCCCAAGTGGCGCCTGCTGAGACTGCTCCAGCTGACAGCCAGACTGCGAAAGTGGTGTTTACAGTCTACGAGCCCATTTCATGGCTGAGCACTGGCAGATAACAATGGCCTGTTTCCTCGGATGCAAATCTTTCCTCGCCGTGCGCGACAAAGGCTGGCCGGCACTCAACGTTTAGCCGGCTCAGGCGCTAGGAACGGGCGGAAGAGATGGTCCACGGCAGACCGTGGTCCTTCGGCTCCTTCGCGCGTCTTCATCACCTCATCAATTGGACTCACCCGCCGATAGGCTGAAGCTAAATGTAACACATCACGACGGCAAAGTATGATCCGCGGCTTGGCGGCCAACGACGAGCGCTCCCTGCGCACGGAGGTCTGCAACGAGCCTGGCTTTCAGTCAAGCATGCACAGCAGCCCTAGGACGTGGATGAAAAGCCCCAAACATGGCTACAGTCACATGGCTAAAGTCTGTGGTGAGGAAATCCATGCTAGTGATGACCATGAGACCTCAGCTTTTGTGTCTTGAAACCGTTTGTTGACGTTCAGCTTGGTGTTGGGCTGTCGACGGGCAATTGTTTCGAAGTCGTGCCGAAATCAGACATTTTCGACTCACTGCATTTGAATCACATTCATAGTATGGAGATGCTATATACACTTAAGCAATATGAAGACTCGTTTCAGGATCCGCTTGAACATGTCCTCTCCATATCGACACTGCAGTTGGCCCTCTCGCATCTCCCCAAAGGTTGTGGAACATGGACTCCTCGACCTCAAGATAATCGTTTCCGTGCCATGATTCCCCGGTTTCTGCCGGGCCTCTCACTTTCACCGCACAAAACCTCAACAGCTCCTTGATGCGCCTGGTAAAGGAGTCTCTCCCAACCGTTCTCCACGGTGGAAGCTCGGCGGGCGGCACGCCGCGGTACCAGCTATCCTTCTCCTGAGACGGCAGACTCAGCAAGAATCCTCCGTGGCGACGATGACATTCAGTCTTCTCGATCCACTCTAGAATTTGTGGTGCGGAGAACCGTGTCATGCCCAGAATAGTAAGGTTTTTGAGGTTGTCGAAAAGCTCCAGGGCTCTCAAGATCCAAGCAGGCTGTTCTACTCCGCTTTGAACGAAGGAAAGAAATTCGAGATTAGGCTGACAGCATGCCAGTGTTTGAAGCTGTGTATAATACAGCGAGAAGGATGTGTGAAGCCTCAAGTCGCGCAGGTCCTTCATGGAACATACTGCGTCCATGACCAGCTTGCGACATCGGAGATCCCTAGGAGGAGGACGAGTCGATTCTTCCGCTATGAAGAGATGTGTAAGATGATACTGCGTTTTGAGTGCGCGGTAGAAGTCAGGATGGTTGCCTGTGTCGTACACGTGTAGCCTTTTGAGTTGGAGATGAGGGAGGGCGTCCGCGATGGCAGGGATCAGGTCCGGCAGGCGGAAGAGGTGAAGGCGCTTCAGACTTCTGCAAGACGTGATCCAATTCGAAATATGCCTACGTTTCTCTCTGGCCCATAGCTCATACTTCTCTCGCAGCCGCGAGCTAGGAGTAAAGGAGTTGAACTTCAGAGTCAGCGACGTCAAGTTCGTGAGCGGACTCAGCAGAAGCAGATCGGTGGGCGGGATCTCGAATAAGCGGAACTCCAAACACCGTAGGTCTGTCTGCTTAGCGATGGCTCTAAACACGGGGGCATGCACTGCCCCGACTCCGCACTCGAAGCAATCAAGCTGATCTGCATTCAAGTGAGAGAGGAACTCGCCCAGCTGTTGTGAGCCCGCCGTGGTGTCCGCCGCAAATGGAAATTCCAGATGCTTTAGCCTCGGAAGACTCTTGCTGATTTGTTTTCCGGCTTCGGCGGTCAAGTCCTCGGTCCAAGTCATCGACAAACGCTCCAGCGCGTGACAGGAGAGGATGAAGGAGCCTCTGTCTTTCCAGCGATATATCGAGACTTCTCTCAGCATCGGGTGCCGACCGTTCTCGTTGCTGATTATGACCAGGTCCTCGAGAAATCGTGTTTCGAATTGCATTACACCACGAGCGTGATATGGCAGTGTTCTTTTCTCAGTCCATTGGGGGTTCTGATCCGCAAAATGTTCCAAAAACTTCAAATTCATTTCCCAATGGTAGAATTGCCAAGCGTAATACAAATTGGAGCCGTCGTAACGTCGGACATATGTGAGATATGGGTGTGAAGTGAGAGGCGGCGTGTTCAGCGGGCTGTCGGTAAACGTCGATGAACGGTAAATAGTTTCCAACATTCCAGTTGAGTAAATGGTTTTGTCTGTCGGAGGAAGAAATGTCAAGCTAGGGTAATTCAGCAAGTGCTCATACATGGTGCTCATACATGGTTTCACGATAAGCTGCGTGCTGAGTAATTCCGGTTCGGTGAGAATCAACTTACTCGTAAAGTCGCTTGAGTGCCAACCACGCGTTGCCTTTACTTGTGAGGGCACAGTTTGCCAAGGTCCTGTGGTAGCCAAGAAAAGCAAGTTGGTCGAATAGAGCTTCCCAGATATCGATGTGCACTACCGCCTTTACCGGCGCATGCAAAGTAGGTAAATGGGTCGTTGGAGACATTGCAGCTAGAAGTCTCTCGGGTTTGCTGCAAAACAGCTGGTATATTGGAGTATCCAAATGATGCGGTATCGAAGGTGATATTTGCGACATTTTGGCTATTGCAGACTTGGAATATGAATGAAAGTCTTGGTCTCGTCGCCAGTGATGTGGTACTGCATCTGTCAGCCTTCGTAACAGGTGAATCTATGACATGCTGCAAGTGAATCGAGAACGGATCATATGGAGAGTGATATTAGGATCACGAAGGGTTAAGCAGTACAATTTCGAGGTACTGAGATACTCTTCTTTGATTTGAGTCGCAAACGACGTCGAAACCAACAGTCGAGTAAAGCAAGTAACGCAAGCACGCTTCAACCTACATTTATTCTGGTCTACACCCGATTGCGAGTTGAGGTATAGCTAAGAGAATCTGTTTCGTCGTTCTTGCTACAAATTTGCTGACCAGGACGATTAGATCCAGAAGGTAGGGAGTTGTCTAAGCCACTTTGGTCTACCCTTCTGGAGACCCTAATGTCTCTTTTTGCGAAAAGAATTTTCGCAGAGCCGGAAGGGTGAAAAGAAAAGGTTTGATAGCGACCCTGATCACCAGAAATCTCTAAGTATCCGTCGCCTGTCCACATCTCTCCATAGGAGTTTAAGGCACGCACCTCTATGCCTAAGTGACGGTGCGAAATCTCATCGCTGAGCCTGCTCACGACGGGGAAAGCGACGTAAGTTGGTGTAGTTTCACATCGGGTTGTAAATTGATTGCTCTTACTTAAGTTGCCAGGCCTCCGAATCATGAACTAATCGTGGTAGAAGCCAAAATCATCGGTTGGGTATCTTCAAAGCCAAGAATGTATGCCACCGAACTTGAGCCATAGATCTCCAAGAAGTTCTCACGGAAGAAAGACAAGAGGACTACAAGCAATCCAGATCAAGAAATCTCCCACCCCTCCAGTTTCCCCTTCCCCCCGCCGGCACCCTCGACTCTCTCTCCACCGCCTCCAGCCGTCCAAGCACCTCCCCCACCTCCCCCTGCACCTCTCTCAACCTCTCCAACACCTTACCGCCCTCTCCCTCGCCCTTGACCTCAACCTTGCTCGAAAATGACGAGGCCAACTTCCGGCGAATGACGTCCGCATTGTCCACCTTCTGAAAGACGTTCACATCGAACCCGATCGCCCTGTACAGCGGACCCGCAAGCTTGCGGCCGTCGTCCACGATACACCCCCGCACGCCGACGTGCCCCTCGATCCGCTCGGTCGCGGCCCTGGCGCTCTTGACCAGCGCCGCCAGCTTCTGGACGTCGGACTCGATGTCCGCGGCTGCGATGGTATTGTTTTGTTGTTGTTGTGCCGGCTTGGGGGCCGGCGCGGAGCCGAAGTCGTGGCTGAGCTTGCACGCGTGGAACGTACGCGGCGAAGCCACGGTGCCCGAGAGGGTCTTGGTTGCGTATACTCTGAAGCGGTTCATTTTGGTTTTTTTGTTGTGGTTGTGATTGTAGTTGTGATTGTGGTGGTTGTTGTGGTTGTCGGTGTCGTTGTTATTGTAGTAGTAGTTGTAGTTGTTGATGTAGTTATTGATGACATAGACTTGCTTGGTAACTCGTGTTAATTAGAAGAAATGGCGATAAGTCTTGCAGGGTTTACTTACTGATGAATGGTGTTGTTGAACTCGGAAGAGATGATATGAAGGTTGGATGTCTTTACAGAAGATTCGTTGCTGAAACCCCCTTTTATCATTTTTTGGGAGGATTTGTCAATCAAGGTTGATGAAGTAGGTCCCTTGAGGAGACACATTAAGTTTGAACCGGCCGAGGACACAATGCTGAACTCGGTGTCTCCGACATTCAAAAGGCAACGGAGGCACATCTTTCTACTTGTGTGGTTGACTGCGAGACCTGTATAAGATACTGACGGATCAACAGGAATTAGTAATTCAAGCTCCTGCTTCATTAAGCTATCAAGTCATAGCTACAATGTGTGACAGAAGCTGAGACGTGAGCCCAGCGCTGACAGGAGGGTCTTGCCAAAGGTGTAAGAAATGTTTGTGAATATTTAAAATCGCTGTCTCTTAACCCTTCCGGTCCCAAAACCTAACAAAACCGTTCCTCTTCGCTGAGCAGCTGTGCCACTCCCACAGAAAAGCAAGACATGACCTGTCTGCTCGGGAACTGCCTATGACGCTTCCGCCCCCTCGCTTGTCTTCCTCGCCCCTGAATATCGTACATGTAGTTTGTCCAAGAAATGCGAGTGTCGGATCCCATTAGGTCTCGCCTCCGCAAACGTGTCGATGGCCTCCTGCACACCTAGTCCGCACCGCTCGACCAGGTAGCATACAATAAAGTAACCCGTGCGGTTAAATCCGTAATGGCAGTGAACACCAATGACCTGGTTTTCTCCGTTGACCGCTTCCCATCTTTCCTCCTCAGCTCTCTTCTTCTGCTCTTCCCTCAACTTGTCCACAAGCGCCACAAAATGCGCAACTTCTCCCTCGCTGGGCGGAACCTTGGACACCGTGGCGAACTTGTGGTAGCGCACGCCGCCCTTCTCCATGCTTCTAGGGTCGTAGACAGGCTGGTCGTGACTGATGTCAACAACGTCCTTGATAATCTTGCCCCAGTTCTTGACGAACTCGGCAGGGCAGTGTACATCGTCGGCTTCCCGCAAAGTCTTCATCGCCCGGAAGACGGCCGGCTTGCCCTTGGGCCCTATCGGGAGCGATACCGGTACGACATTCTTCCACTTGGCTAGGTTCTTCACGTCCCATTTGCCCTCACGCGAGAGGTACTGCAGCTGCCATTTCAGGGAGAAGCGACCGGTGACGTGACAGGCTAGGAAGTCGGAAATGTGATGGGCGAGAACCCGAGCGGTCGAGGGCATGAACAGTACAGCGTGATTGGCAGGCGCCGGGATGATGATTGACTTGACCACCTTGGTGGGATGTCGAGGCTGAGGCGGAAGGTTTGCAGGAGATGATTCATCTGGCGTAGAGGGGTCCTCAGTCGTGTCTGCACCTTCATCCAGTCGTCTGTCTCGCTGGAAGTCCTCATCTCGGATGTCGTCGATGCTCTCAGGCACATAATCGGTGACGTTTTGGGAGGTGTTGACTGGCGCAGCAGAGTCGACGACGGTCTCATGGCCATCTTCCGAACCCGTCTCTGGTGACAGCGGTGCCTTGGTTTGAAGATACTCCTCGATCTTGCCGACTTCACCAGGAGGGGTTAGTTTGTCTGCCTCCCCGCCAACAAGGTATACGGGTACGTCAACGCCGGCCCATACGTCCTTTCCGGGGACGCCACCCCTGGCAACGCCATTCTTGAACGTGGGTAAAGACCCCCAAGCCATACGGCGCCATACCGGTGTGCGACTCTGGTTGTTAAACCGGTCTTGCAGCTTGCGCAGCTCGAGGTCTGCTCCCGGTCCGACAAACCGGCTCACGCTGGCACTCTGCGGTCCTCCCCATCGGTCATAGGCCCTCCACAGATCGAAAAGCCAGCCGGGAACCCACAAAAGCTTGCGGAACAGCGCCGTCTTGTCAGCTGGTGGAGGTCCAGAGACGGGGCAAATCGCTACGAGTCCCACGATGTGTGTTCTTAAATCTGTTCGGTGCGTAGTGTTACGGCTAGCCAGTTGTGCACACATCGTCGTGCCCATGCTATGGCCGATGAGAACCACGTTGCGGTCAGGCTCCTTCTGGCGGTACTCGTCAATGATGACTTCCAGCAGCTCGGCCAGTGCTTCCGGACTGTAGGCATCCCATGACGTCTGTGCAAACTTGGATCGCCCACATCCGGGCAGGTCGATGGCCAGACATGATGAGATGTGGACAAGGCTGGTCAGCAGCGGGTGAAATTGTGCCACTGAGCCTCCCAGCCCGTGAATGAAGACGAGCAAGGGGATGGGTGGCTTGGGCAGCTGGTCTGCCTGTTGATGCCGTTTGTAGAATATGCGGATATCAGCATAAGTGTAGCGATCTGTTTTGAATGTGCGTATCTCTGAATTTTGTTTTAGCAACTCCGGATCCGTGGACTCGGGGTCGTGGGGGTTGGTCCACCATCCGCCGCGGGCCTGTTGTTGGTCTCCCATGTTGACCGAGGGTATGTGGGTTGTCGTTCCGGGATCCAGACGCGTCTTGGCCACCGGCACCGAAAGGGTTGCAAATACAACGGTAAGAAGAGGAATAATAAGCCTGGTCTGACAAGACAGAAGCCGGAATAAAGCGCGGGTATCTCCAAAATGTAGTGCGCTGCAAGGAAAAATGGCGATCTTTGTGTGTGTCGTTCCAGGAGGGTATGACAGCCCGACGATCTCTCAACCGTTCGCTACTTGGGGGGAGGGAGGTAAACAAAATGGAGTGAGTGTGGGCGAGATAGACCGAGATAACGATGAGATCTGGTCACACGGAATGTGACTCAAAATCGGGTAGCCGCTGTGAAGTAAGGACCCAGTTCCAGTTTCCTCTTCCGCGGGTATTCCACCGTCGCACCTGCTGTGTGCAACTGGGCGCGAGGCCCAGAGCACTGCAGGGAGGAAAGAGCAAAGGCGGCTTCCTTTTAATCAGACCGCAGGTGAGGTGGGCTAGGTAGCGTCGAGATCTGAGGGGATCGACTGAGACGGAGGCAGGCCAGAACGTGGTCGGGGCAGGCCGTTTCTAAGGCAGAAGATGCGCCACCAGCTGCTCCGTACAAATACCGCTGCGATGGGAAGAAACTGGGGAAAGTGAGAGACAAGATGCTAGGCAAGAAAAGCGAGCCTCACAGAAGGCACCACTCAGGCGGGCAGCGGGCAGCGAGAGATACTTTCAGTGGGGAGCAAGGCACCAAACTTTTGTCTTTGGGCAATCTATGTCATTGCCCATTCTCAGCCAACAGTTCGTCATGTCTCCTCCACCTGGGCCCGGGGAAACGCTGCCATTGGTTTCCTTGTCTCTGGAATTTTTGGCCAATTGGAGCTTCGCTGCGAATCAGCGCCCGCGCTGGGACCTGGCAAGGCTGATTACGTACGCGATCGAGAAGAAGCTGGGAAATTTGTACATGAGAATTATGTAAATTGTGATTTTAATATTACACTTTGGTTTCTGGTATGAGGCATTGCAGAGTCTTCGCGTCTTGTGATCTCTCACCAGTGGTGGCTGGCTTTGAGAAAGAAGACAGGTGGTGGTACAGCGTTCAGCGAGAACCTGGAGAGTGATCTCGCCAGGAATTTGCATGGCGGGGTAGCGAGAGTGAGGTTTGTGGACGTGGCCGGCCCCGGGTATCCCACATCATTCAGGAAGCTAGATCTCGATGCTCTATGCAGTCCCCATCTCATGGAGGATCATCGTGATTTTGCCGTCTTGAATGCTTCTCTCCGTCCACGTGCGCACTCTGGCGATGAGCCTATCCTCAACCCGAGTCAGGGCGGTCCATATGGTCTCCCCATCGTGAGCACGTCACGCAGCGCCCTTGCCCTCGACCCATCCGATGGGAATCAAGGCACCCGCAACTTCATCGACGCCCCTCTCCGTAGCAAGCAGATTGAACTGCGATGCCGCATTCCCCGTGTCAAGCACATCCACGCGGATTCCGAGCGAGCTGAGGTGCTTTTTCGTGGACGGAGCGAGCGGAACGATCTTGGGGCCGACGCCGAGAATAAGAAGATCTGCGAAGAGCCACGTCAGAATAGTGTTCGATTATCGTAGACATCGTCAGAAGGGGGACGAACCAGGTCGAGGCCACACCAGCTCCAGCACGCCAAACGCCTCGGGGGGGATCTCAAATTGGCCCTTGGCATTGATCAAGTTCATCGTGCCCTTGGCCTCCCACGGCCGCCACTCGAATGCCTCGCCGCCAATGAGCAGGGCAGCGTTTCCATCCAGAATCTTGAGGCCACTGTTCAGGGAGAAGCCGTCCGACATGCAGACATCGATTGATGTTGACGGAGTCGGCGTATTGCCCAAGACGTCGAGCTCGCTGAAGTCGGTACCACCTTCATATTCGTTCGTCTTGTTCTTCTTTAACCTTGGCGGCGCCGTGTGGATTTGACTGCGTAGGCATGCGATTTGCGAAGGAGCTGCTGAGGGTCGCAAAGGCGTCGAGACTCGGGGGAGCGGTCGGGGAATCGTGCGCTGGGCGCGCGCGAATGCGCGGAGCACGCGAGTGCTTGCCGGAAAATACATGAATACGGGCCGGATACTTGTGTCGAATGAGTGAACGCGTGCAGCGGGTAGGGACAAGAAGCTGACGTTGGGGTGGTTGGAGTTGTTTGACGGAAGAGCTGGGTACAAGCTGGAATTTTTTCCGCAGAGCTACTTCAGTATCTTGAACGTCATGATTACAAGGTTGAGCGAGCTACCAAAAAACCACCAGTCGTGATGGCGGGGAACCACATCAAAATAAGTCACGCCAAAGCACCAGTGTCACGCATCATACACCGGGGAGTCCAGAGCGCGACGGCGCCAAAAGTTCAATTCGCTGTCATAATTCCGATACTGGGGGATAAACCACTTTTGTTTTTTGGGCGCCTCGACTCGATTGAAAATCGCGGGGTCGTCACTCAGAAAGCAACGAAAAATATGAGATCCCACGTTTAACAACCAAACAAAAAATTTGAAAGGGCTCGATTTCCGTTTTCATTCAGGTATCGAGGCCTAAGAGTGCCCTAACGCACAGCAGCAGACGAACCGTCATCAATCCGCCTGTGGCCGACGATTCTTGTGTATCATGCAGTTCCTTTTGCCCTTATTGAACACCTAAGCAATGAACCAAACCCCTAAAATTTCCCATTCCGGCCAGCTGTGGTTTTTTGACGTGTGACGCAAGAAAGAATGAGACGTTTATTTCTTCTTCTCAGACTGGCTCTGCTCCTTGAGCACCTTCTTGACGATCTTCTGCTCCTCGATCAGGAAAGCGCGGACGATGCGGTCACGAACGCAGTTGCCGCATCTGGAGCCGCCGTAGGCACGCTGGACGGTCTTCTTGGGCTTGGAGATCTGGGCATACTCGCGGGGGCGGAGGGCGGGGACCTGTGATGGGGCTGTTAGCATTTCCCGCGTGCGTGTGTGAAGCCGTGCTGAAATTCGACATCGAGAGAGTCCCATCTGAGAGCGCCGTCGACTTCGTGTTTCCTGTTCGTCCTTGATGAAGATGATCGCAAGCCTTTGCCGATGACGAACGCCCTTCCTCCATGTCCTCCCACTACATTCCAATGCGCTCCCAGATGATGGTCCCTCGAGTCTCGGTTCGGCCGTGGTGTATAGATCGAACTTACGCCGGGCAGCTTGACGCCGCAGTCACCGCACTTGGGGGCAGTGCCGCGCTTCTTGATGTGAAGGATGCGGAGCTCACCACCGGGGGTCTTGACGATACGAGTCCGGTTGGAGGTGGTGTTGTAGCTGCAATTTTTCCCCAGTCAGTCTTGTCGTTTTCTCCTCGACCTGCACGGCATGCACGCCGATGCGAAAACAAACGCCGTCTCTCGATAAATTCGATCGCAACGTTTCGATTCGAAGTGGGAAGAGACTCACCCGTTACGGCGGCGGTAGGTGACACGGGCTCCGGCCATTTTGACTGATTGATGGTGCTGCGGACGTTAGTTGAGCAGAAGTCGTGAATCGCAAGCTGGTGGAAAATTGGTTTCTGAGGGTAGAATTAGAAATTGTGTGTTCGGGCAAGTGAGCTACCACCCTATTGGTTACCTGCCTTAAGCGCAGTGGAGCTCAACCCCATCACGTGATCGTTTCAAGCAAGTTAACGATGGCTCAATGTTCACAGTGACTTTTGACTTGTACTGGTTGTATCAAGAGACCGCCTTATCTTTCTGTGCTAGATTGACTACTTTTCCTGCGGTTGCATACTCTACCTCAGCGTCGTCGTCGTCGTCGTCGTCTCCGCTGCTATCGTCGTCTTTATTCTTTGCTGCTGCTATTGCTGTCATCTACAACGAGAGTAATTAGGTACCAAGGAAAAGTGGTCACTTTAGCACAGGGAATATATGCGGTCTCTTAACCAAATATCGTCCCTTCATGGATTCTAACACTTGTCCTGAAGGAAACCTGAAGGAAACCTGAAGGAAAGCAAACGCCGTTTTACATTCTCAGAGTCTTTATCCAGGACGTCTGCTACCGAGCGCTTCGAAGCAATGCCGCATAAACATATCCTTTTTCCCTAGAAACCCCCAACGCCATGTGCAACCATTCAAATCAGGTGATGCCGAACTATGACGACTCTGGCTCTAATGTTGTCCAGTCGGGGTGTTCAGTAGCGCGCCAGGGCTTGACGCCGTTGGGCTCTTCCCTTCGTCTCTGGGAGGCATGGTTCATGATCTTGGTCATCTGCTCGCTCTTTCGAAGATCTTGGAAATCCTGCACCTCCTTTCTGGCCGCCTCTACTGACTTGATGAAACTGGCGAACTTGTCCTTGGCTGGCGGTAAACGTTAGCTGACGAAAATGGAAAATGCTCATGGCCGTGGATGGCAGCACATACGAGTCGGTTGATGCGCGGACAAAGGGTCCATCATCCGTGGGATCGTGGTGCGCAAACCTCGCAGCTGTGAGAGGGGTCAGTTCGACTGAAGTCGGGCAGGACTGCAGGGGACGCCGACCTGGGTGTGCAACAGCTTCAGCTGGTTCAATGACTGCTCTAGGCGTTCTTCATCCCACGCCTCATTGCCAGGCTCGGACTTGATGGCTGGGTTGTTGTTTGCCATGGTGATGCGGGTTAAGACGTCGCCCTTGGAGATGGAAACCCTGAAAGGCCGGTTCGGTAATTGTTTCCCCAAGGGGGGAATTGACGTTGAAACCGGGACGAATAGATATGTCGAGCGCCGCGGACCGAGGTTGCTTTGAGAGCCTGGCCCAGAGGGTGGATGCAGCGATGGATGTAGGTAAAGATGCAGAGTCGGGCACACTGGCAGTCCGACACAGATCCAGGTGTATTGTATGGCGCAAAATTGTTTGCGCGCCGCCTCAAAACCAAAGTGCAAGTGCAAACGTACCACCTTTCATGCAACTATCCACTTGGGGTCCAAAGCAGGCACTGCGCCGGCAGGCAAGTCTGAGATTTGTTGGTGGTTTAGGTGAGCCAGCTTGGAAGCGTTGGTGTTTCCGATGCGCGGCGCGGTGCGGTGCAGTGACAGTGAGAGCTCATGACGGGAATTAGCGTAGGGGCCAGAAGCCGCTCCAAGCCAGGGACCGTGGAAAGGACGCTGAATGTGGTCACCGGCGACACGTCAATCTGGAAGGTGGTTGGCGCGGGCCACAGATGGCCCAACTTCATGCCGTCTGGTGCAGCGTCAAGGTCGCTGTGCCTCGAGCAAGTGAAGGGCGGTACTTGTTGGGTCACGTGAGCTGCGAGTCCAGCAAGGAGGTAAACAGTCAAAGAAAAAGAGAGAAGCGGTAACAACGGGAGGAAACAAAACAAAAGAGACTTCAGCTGCAACATCAGTATCGCTCTCGCCCCCATCAACTTCATCAGACCACTGCAGGACACGAAGTGCATCCGAACGAAATGCGCATCTCTCCGGTCGAGGAAAGTGCAGCATCGTCGTACAGAAGGAGCAGGGAACATTGGTACCTAAAAGGTACGCTGCCGCGCCAAGGGGTGCAGGCCTGCAGCTGGGATCCTGGAAGCTGACACTCGCTAAAAGCTAGCCGGAAGGCGGATTAACTGCGAACCTAGTTCAGACCGTGCGGATTGGAATTCTCTGACTCCAACCTCTCCGTGTTCCTACCTTTCCGTCACGAACCCAGCTACTTACCAACTGTGGAAAGCTGCATCTGAGCTAAACCAACAAAACCTTGACGCCCGCACTTCGTTTTCTCTTCACTTCAGCAGAGCTTCATCGTTCCTTTTTCGACGCGTCCTTTTCTCTCCGGACTCGTCGCCAGATACACTTTTTCCCCACCTTCCCTTCACATCCGCCAAGCTGGACTCTTCCGCCATCATGTCGAATGCGCCCCCGCCGGCGCTTTTACCTCCGCCCGAGGGTATATTCCGCTCCTTCGAAGATCTTCTGAGCTCCGTCCAGCGCGTCGCCAAAGACCAGGGCTACGGTGTCGTCAAGCTCCGCGCCTCCAACTACCGCGATGGCAAGCCCACTCGCTACGACTTGGTATGCGACCGCGGCGGCGTCAAGTACAGCAGCACTGCAAAGAAGCGCAACCCCTCCACGCGCAAGGTCGACTGTCCCTGGCGCGCCAAGGCCGTCTGCGAAGTTCAACTCGGCAACCAGTGGCGTTTCGCCGTCCAGGAGGGTAGCCACAACCATGAGCCTCGCGTCGCGACCGCCCCTCCCGGCCAGGAAAACACGCCGCTCGCCCAATCCATGCGGTCCTTTACTAACAAGATCGACCGCATGAGCCACGACATGGCCCAGGGCTTCATGCGGATAGAGCAAGCCCTCGACCAGATGAACAAGCGCTTGGAAAACCTCGAGAACCGCGCCGGAGGATACGAGCCCCGCTTCCAGAACATGGAGTCGCGACTACAAGGTGTGGAGGCCCGTGGCAGCATGGAGCTCCCTATGGATGATGTCGATGCCCGACTTCTGTCAACCTCGGTCATGTAGGAAAACGGCCAAGTCGACATGTCGGGCATGGGAGCTCTGTCGGGCGCGAATGCGCACGGCGGATACGCGACGGACAACCACGCTGGTTTGTCCTAGAGCACTCCTATGTTAGTCGACCCGAGGCCATTTACATCGATATCCACGCGTCACACGGAACCAAGACAAGGAAGCAAAATGACTAGACGATTCAGGGTCACATTTCTCTCGAGGATGAGACTTCAGGCAGGGAGCCAGACCCGGGGCTGGATGGGCAGGCGTTGAAGGGAGGCTTGGGCGTTTGGGACTCATCATCTGTTTTTTTAACCTCTTTCCAGCCACATGGCGATATCAGTCCCGGTTTGGGCTGGGATTGATCCGTTTCGAGGTCATGTTATTATACGAAAATTTCTTGCGCAAGGCGGGGGTCGGCTTTTTGCGATTTGGCAAGACGAGAGCAGCAGCAGCAGACAATGGGGTTCATTGTAGCAAGAGAGGCCCAGAGGCGTATCATCGGTAGAGCGCGACTGCAATACCAACCAGTACATGTCCACAGTTCTTTCCCAATGCTTGGTGAATGCGTTGACTCGCGGAAGGTGAGGTGACATTCGAGGCAGCTGAGCCGGGTGCCGACGCATGACGTAACAGGAGACAGCTTAAACATTGCGATTGCCCTTTCTTTGCGGACCTGGCCGTTGCAACTCTCACCTCAACCGGTCGAACGTCGCCATTCCGCCCAGGATCCAGAGGCATTGTCTCGTCGTCTGCTCCCAACAACGACCGTGAGACACACGTCCGTCCTGGCTTACACGGATTGTACATCGGAGACCAGTCCGCGGCACAGTATCAACTGACACCCAGGATTCCAACTTCGCACGTCCGCAAGGCGCACACTGTGAAGGAGTTGGCCAGCTTCCCACACACCCGAACAAACCCCTCCATGACAAGCTCCGGTTGGTTTCCTTCTTGGTAAGGTAGCAAACAATGTTCCCAATAGAGAAAATGCACGCCGAGTAGAAGAACGCCAAGCGCGAGATTAGCAGGCAGGTAGCCTGACCTGATCGCTCGGAAGCCCCTCCGCCCCCGCGCGCCCTCTCCGGTTTTCTTTTCGGTGCCCTTTCAACGGGCTTTTTTCACGACTGGCCACCCCAACTTGCGAAACCCATCCCAGCATCCCAACGGACCCCGGTCCTGCATATCCAAAGCTCCAGACCACGCCCTGTCTGCACCACCACCACCACCACCTACGCAACCGCGCGCAACCACTCTGTGTAGGACTCATTTCGGTCTTCAGGCCCGGGCGCGTTGGACGACCCAGGATGTCTTGCAGGTTTGTGCGTTCATCCGAAGAATTCGTCGCCTTACCTGCACTTTCCGGTCAACATTTCGAGGCCGAGAACCAGCCCAAGTCCCTCGATCGCAGGCGCAGCAGTCACATCGCACGGCGTAATGCGTGACAGCCTATCAACAGCTGGGAACCCGCCCTTCGAATTTGAGGGTTTTCGGCGACAATGCATCGCTCGTAAGGGCGCCTGCATCAACTCTACCCGCCGAGCCCAGTCCCAGCCGGCTCAGACTGATGGACAGCAGCAAACTCCTACCAACCAGCTCCGACGGACATGTCTCGAATATCCAAACGAAACCTCGTCATGTTTGCCTGCCCGCCTGTGCTGTCCTTATTCAGACCACCCGCTTTTCCCGGTTATTACGAATCCATCGGGTCGGTAACCAGTGAGGACAAAGTCGTTGGCTGCTTCGTCCTGTTTTCCCCATGCACATGATCAAAGCGCACATTCGGGGACCCTCAGGGATGATCGGGACTCGCTAACTGCTTTGCATCACGGCAATGAGACGTGTGTATCTACGGCCACTGTCGGAGGAGGCGACTCGGGGTCGTGGTGGAGCACCATGTCACGAGCAGGCAGCTGGATTCACCAACACGTTTGCCCCCTCCTGGTCCCGAGACATGCATTGTCGTCCTCGATGCCGTTGTCTACAAGGGTGTGGGTGGGTTGCGAGCGGCCCTCGAACTTCATCGAACAGAGAACGCATCCCGCCGAGGCGGCGGCGGTGCCCGGGGCCGGTTTGTCACAGGTGATTGACAGCGGAAAACCCGAGCCTTATTTCCCCCCAACGTAACCGGCCGTAAGAAACCAGCCAACCGCTCAGAGGGATTCTCTCTATGAATCCCAAAAAGGACATTGCTCTCCCCATCCCCCTCACCTCCTGCAATGACCTCCTGGTTCAGTCACACACCAGCAGGAATACTCCGCTCGAAAGCAACCCAGTCTGCAAGCGACGTTTACCGCTGACAAATGTCCGTCTAAGCCTCCAAATAAGGATACTCGAAAGGTTCGCAGTCGGAAGGCAGCAGTCTCTACTCACCTCTATAACCTGTGTTTCGATGCACATCCATGGAACGATTCCTTGTTCACAATCTGCTACTTATCGTGGAAGCCGCCTAGAAGCATGCGGCCCCGAAGGATCCAAGCTTCTAGCATGTTTGCCTGCTCGACCAGGGTTTCTTCCCGCGTCGGGCAGCAAACACTGTTTCCTCTTTTCCCATCCCTCCCTCTTCGATCCCTAGTCACCAGGTAGACGCACACCCAAGGTGGTATCCATCTCGCGTCTAGCCCTCGCCTGTCGAGCTGGGCTTGCGCAAACCGAGAGGCACAAGTCAGGCAAGCCCCTGTACAACGACTGTCGCCTGCGCGTCCAACGAAATCGGGAGAATCCTAGCCCCGTCACATCACATCGCTTTGTGAAGGTCGATACGCGAGGCCCCCGCGGTACCCAACTATACAAGCAGGGGCTGAACAAGGGCAGAAGGATGAAGCGCATGAAGAGCCAACGCCAAGGTTTGTTCCCGTTTCTATGAGGCTGAATGCGGGAAAAGTGCGGGAAAGGCATGGGCCTCAGGTGAGGCAAGTCAAAACGGCAATTGCACATGGGCCAACTCGCAAATCTGGGGGCCGACGAGTCGAAATCCGCGTCTTTTGTCTCTGGCATATCTCCCCTACAACACGGAATGTGTTCGAAGAATGACCTGTGGACCTTGGTAAACGGCAGCTTGCTCTCTTTTTAATCCTTACCGCCCCAGTGAAACATGACCTGCCACCTATGCACCTCGGACTCTGCACCCAACGCGAACGGTCAACGACGAACTCACCACAAACATGTTGGCCCCAACGAAGAGCGATCACCGCCGGGCATACGAAGACATGGTTCGGAAACGTGGTTCCATTCAATGATGTTCACACAATGCTTCTAGCTGTCGTTTGCTGCTATGATTAGAAATGGCCCAGCGTACGTACTGGTCCCTCCAGCCTTCCCCCCTATGCAATGAAAGAATTCACAGACGCTCGTAAACTCCAGAATATGCCGAATATGCCCCCAGACAACAACCAATGACTCATATCACATGTAGGCTTACAAGAGGTGGGCGTACTCCTGCTCCTGGCTCCAGCTGCCGGGGTCCCCGGCAGGCAGCTGCTGCATGCTCATGGCACCCAACTGCTTTATGTTCATCTTCTCCCGCAGCTCGTCCGTGATCTTGTCGACGTCGACGTTGAGGTAGCTGCGCAGGAACTTGCCGACGTCGGTGTTCTCGATGTTGCCGCGGATCTGCATCGCCTCCTCGCCGCCGGTGCTGTACACGTTGACGTCGAGCGCCGTGTGGCCGTGCGTGCTCCAGCCGATGTGCGCGCGCAGGCTGATCATGGCGGCGAAGGTCTGCACCGACACGCCCGGGTCGTTGACCAGCGCGTCGAGCTCCTCCGGGTGGGCGTTCTCGATGCCGAGGCCGGGGATGACGAGCTCCTGGTTGACCCACTTCTTGAGGTCGTCCTTGCTCTTGGCCTTGTTGTTCGCGACGTGCTGGATGAACTTCTTCGAGAGCAGCTCGGCGGAGGCGGTGGCCTTGGCGAGCTGGCGAGGGTACCAGTTGTATACGGGCAGGTGTCCAGGCTCTTGGAGAGCGGTTGCGAGGCCGCCGGTTTCGTGGTCGCTCGTGGCTACCAGGAGAGACTCGGTCTTGCTGTTCTTGACAAAGTCTGAAACGTGCTTGAAGGCCTTGTCGTACTCGAGGACCTCGTGGACCTGGGCGGCGGGGTCGTTGATGTGGCCGGCGTGGTCGATCCTGCTACCCTCGATCATGAGGAAGAAGCCGTGGTCGCTGTTCTCCGTCGCCTTCTCGAGCGCGCGCAGCGCGGTGGTGGCCATCTCGCTCAGGCTGGGGTAGACGTCGCTCATGTTGCGGCGGTCGAGCTCGAAGGGGATGTCGCCGGGCGCGAAGAGACCGAGCTGGGGGAAGCTGACCTTCTCGCCGAGCTGGAGCGCGTCAAAGGCCTTGCGGTCGCCGGCGTAGCTCCAGCCAAACTCGTCCTGCGCCTTGGCGACAACGTCCTCGCTGTCCAGTCTGCAGCTGCCTTCGGTACCGTTGGGGAGGAAGTGGCAGCGTCCGCCACCGAGCATGATGTCCACAACCCGGCCCAAGGGACCGGCGCCGACCTCCTGCAGGGCGATGTCGTCGTTCATGGCGCGGGTCAGGACGTGGCTGGCGAAGCAGGCGGGGGTAGCGTCGGTGATGTCGGTGGTAACCACGAGGCCAGTCATGAAGCCGGCGCGCTTGGCGGCCTCGAGGACCGTTCCGCAGGGCTCATAGTCGGGCAGGACCGAAATGGCGCCGTTGTAGCTCTTCTTGCCACAGGAGAAGGCAGTGGCGCCGGCAGCACTGTCGGTCACGAGAGAGTTGGAGGAGCGAGTGCGGCTGGAGCCCCAGAAGTGCTTGTCGAGGGTGAGGACGTCGTCTTCGGGCAGGCCGTTGATGTGCTGGCGGAAGCTGCGCGTGAGGGAGAGCGAGGCGGGGCCCATGCCGTCCGAGACCATGAAGATGAGGTTGCGCTTGGTGGGGTGGCGGAACTGGCCGCCGCCGGTCTGGTTGCGGTGCTGCGCCCAGACGGCGAGGACGATGACGGCGGCGGTGGCGACGAGGGCCCAGATGAAGAGGATTATCTCGCGGAGGCGGGAGGGGCCCGGGGGAAGGGGGTCGGCGTCGTCTGAGGCATCGTCGGGGTTCGCTTGACGGCGGGAGTCATCGGACGGGTTTGAGATGAGCGGCGTCCTCTCAGAGGTCGACTGTTTGCTCGGAGACGTCTTGTTAGCCATTTTCTTCTGTATCGTGATTCATACACTGCGCGCGAGCGGCCGTGTTTCCTCGGAGAGATTGCGAAAGTTTCTGGGTGACGGAAGCTTGTTTTGTTTGCTCGGGGCACGTTAGAAGGGGAGAAAGGAGGGAAGTTCTTACCATGTTTGCAAAACGTGTTCGGCAAGTCTTGCCCGTGTCGTGGCAAGCTGCTTCAGATGTTGTCGCAGGATTTTGCCTTGCACGCGCAGTCGCAGCTGGGGGGGAGCGCCGGTTTTGAAGGTTGTCGCTGACTCCCACACTACGTAAGTACCCCCGTCAGATTGATAAAGGAGCTGTGTTGATTGCACCACCGCCCACACCGCAGAGGTGAGGAGGCTGGGCAGGCGACGGGGTAGCAGCGCCTGGGAAAGCTGCCTTGCCGCCTAAAGTCTAGCGCGGTGGACAAGGTACCTGACCTGGCGACCCGACCCTGGGGGGAAGCGAAGCTCCAGGCATGTTTTGGGTAATGGGTCACGGGCTGCCTGCAGCAATACGCTGGAAGACGGGGTTCACATTTTTGGGGTTGAATTGCGCGGGTGGGGATTGTTGCAGGTCCGCAGCCCATGTGCCGGTGACATCACGTCCCATGGTCAGCAAGATTGCGTTTTTTGTCGCTGCTTCGACGACTTCGGATTACTTTCGACCAGCATATGCGGGACGAGCCTTTTCCCTCTCTCCATCTCTCTCACACATCTCTGTCTAATGAACTGACTGACTTGCACGCACAGCGCGCACCAACCACATCCGCCCTCCAAGGTTTGAGGGGTCTTGGTCTGTGTGCAGCAGGGAGCTGTCACCTGCTCGTCGCCGTTGGATGGGATGGCATCAGGTGGTTTGGGTGGCATCTGCGGGGAACGGGCTAAGCGGGCGATCTGCCATGCCAGCGAAACCCAACTCGGCATGGCCTAGAATCATGGAGGGTTGGACGAGGCCTGGTTGGGTAAGAAAGGGTATTATCGGTGTATCGTTGTGTGGCCGTTGATGTTCTGAAATGATATCCGGCATGTGGGATGGTCGGTTGGTTTTCATTGAACGAGCCGATGTAGTGTATGTTCTGATTGTTTGCTCGGAGGCGGGATCCGGAGAGATGTTTAGATCTGGCGGTCGTGGCAAATGTCTTGCTTCATCGTGATGCACAAGCTTGGTCTGAAATTCCCGTTGGGTGTTTGCGGCTACCTTGATTATTTGAAGCAGTGGGAGTTGGCTGTGGAAGCTTGTGCCACCGTCATGTCACAACAGCCTCATTTTGGCTGCCAGACGTCGACGTGTTTATCTGCCCTTCAGTTTCCTGGCAGTTTGAAGTGTCAGGATTTCTTCGTTTGCAAGGGATCCTGACGATTCATCCATATGCATTTAGCTCCTTGCCAAAGATGTAGTAGTAGTACGGGAAGGGAACAACTAGTGGATAAGCATATTGCCAAACACTGCTGAAGAACCACGATCCAGGTTTATGGACTCTATAGTATGGCCCGATTATCTGTGAGATATCATTGTCTTCCTTTCTTCCCGGCACCTGTACACCATCACCGGTCAAGCTCCTGGAGAGCTCACTGGTTCAGCCCTTGACGGCTTCGCTTCAACCATGTGTATCTACGTTCTTCTCATACCGACATGTCACCATAACCCACTCCTTCTCTTTGACACTTCTTGTCATCTAATTCTTGAAGAATTACAACGTATTCATCAGCCGAACGCTTGGGAGGGAGACGCCCGCGGCGAGATACCCTTCGACATGCCCGAAGCTTGTGTTCCTAGACCGGACAACATCCAACCAATCTACACGAGCGACTCCTGTCATTGGAGCTGTCCCCATGCTCCGCAGCAACATGTTGCCGCTGGAGGACGCGATCGATTCTTCGGACCGTCAGAAATGGATTTTGGTTCAGGTTCGAGTTGGGAATGATTACGACAGACAGGGACAAAAGTCTGCGTGTGCCTAATTACATTCGAGTAGAAGATCTGAGCTTAGCAACATTATCACAGCTCGCTATACAGCTATTTAAGCGATGGATTCCCATACTTTGCTTGTGAAATAGATGCGCTACTTGGAACTCACCCTAGACATGTACGACCGCCAACGTTTCCGACGATAATAGATATAACTCTGCCTCACTATTATCGTCATTATTTACTATTGTCACTTTCGTCCTTCTCGTCGTCCTTCTCATTATAATCGTTGTCATCGTCACTATCTCTCAAGTATCACATCAAGTCTGCTTTACCTTGAGAGACCTAGGCTACCCATTGAGGGCTTTTTTGGATGGCACTCAATTACTCCATTGTTATTGCTCGACTTCAAGGTGCTGTTGCCTACGACAGTATCTCGTTGAAAATGTCTAGGAACGTGATACTAAAAGAAGAGCGGACCTAATATGGTGCGAGTTTAGCAGAAGTCTCAAAGGTGATGATAAGAGTGAATACGTTTGCGAGGCTCAGTTACATATTCCCACTGGTGTGTAAGTGTCCTTGCCTGCATTCGCTCTACCTGGCTCTTCCAATTCTTCAATGTCGGCGGTCTTTCAGGGCCTTTGCACGGGCACCTAAAATGCCCGTTAGGGGCATGTGTCGCTGAAAAATCCGATTGGGCGCCCTCCGTTAGCGCACCCGAACAGCGCCAGGCACCGCAACCGACATCGCCCCACACCAGCTCGAATGCCTGGACCCCACCACTTTATGCGACCAAACGCGTCCTTCCCCCCGGCGCCAACGACGACATCATCATCGATGTCCCGACATCAAACTTCATACAAGTGATTCCAGCCTCAATGACATCATAACAGCAATTGAGCAACTCATCGGATGCCAACATGGCCATCCTCAACTTCACACTCAGCGAGGATGCCGTCACCGCCCTCCGTGAGGTCCTCACCTGCTTGAACAAGTTCAGCGACGAGGTCTCCCTCGAAGCCAAGAAGGACCAAGTTAGTCGCCAGCGCCGAGACAATGCGGATTGTGAAAGGCTGACGATACTCAACAGCTTGTCCTCTCAACACTCAACTCTTCAAAATCAGCCTACGCCTGCTTCACCTTCACGGCAAGCCGCTTCTGTTCCCGATACCAATTCGAGGGCAGCGCACAGTATCGCGAGAAGTTTTATTGCACGCTGTACACACGTGTATATCGTCGCTTCCGGATCCGAGGGGAAGAATTGCCACTGACGCTTCACAGGCACTCATCAACATCTTCCGCAGCCGCGGCGGCGGCGATCCCACGCGAGACCGTGAGAGGGAGACCTCCATCGATCGTTGCGACGTGGCAATCCAAGACGGCCCCGGCGTCAAAAGCCGCTTCATCGTCAAGCTGTTCTTCAGAAACGGTAGGGTCACCTGGTTTCCAATCAACCTTCGGATTGAGCTGACATTTGATAGGCATCACATCCGAACACAGACTCTCCTTCGAGGTCGCGGTACCAGTCCGCGCAACTTTCGACCGCAATGAGGCCGTCCACCACTGGAAGATCCCCTCGCGGACCCTGAGGCAGCTGATGGAGCATTTTGGATCCGGCATCGACTTCCTCGAGGTCGTGTCAGATGGAGAGCATGTCAACTTTGTGGGTACAGCAGAGAGAACGACAAATGGAGATGGTATGTTATGTTGTCCAAGGCGGAGTGGATCTAGCTAGTGTCCTTGCTAAACTTGTCCCAGAGGTCCTCAAGAAACCCCTACACACGTCAATCGCCGTAGAAGTAGACGAGTTCGAAGACATCGAGGTTGAAGAGAATCTCCGAATCGTCATTAGCGTCAAGGATTTCCGCGCCATCATCCAACACGCTGGCATCGCTGGCACCCATCTCTCTGCCAAATACTCCGCGCCAGCCCGCCCCATTCAGTTCGCGTACCAGGGCGACGGCATCAATTGCGAGTTCCTTCTGATGACTGTGGGCGAGAGAGGCAACCCGGGACAGAAGACGAAGAAAGGCAGGGCCGGCAGCAAAGCCCCGCCCCGGCCGCAACAGCAACTCGAGGCTGCTGCCGGGTCTAGGAGACAGAGCGCTGCGCCTTCCGAACCACCCGAACAGCCTGCCGCGCAGATCATGCCGCCACCGCCTCCAGCTGCGTCTGCTGCTCGAATTGGTGCTGCCAGGACGTCATTGTTCGATCTCCGGCCATCTCAACGACCGCCACCCGCTAGTATACGGTCCGAGGGGTTGTTTGTGGATGATGACCAGTGGGAGCCCGTCAGGGACGAAGAGGATGAAGAGGCTGAGGAGGATGCAAGGTTGGAATGGGATCATAGCAACCAACCCGTACGTCCCCAAACGCGCACCACAACTATGTTTGCTGACACGTTGCAGAACCAATCCATCATGCATCTAGACCGTGGTGCTACCCAATATGACGGCGAGATCGATCCGGCACCTGAAAGCAGCGCAGGTCTGGCGCCTACACAACCCCTAGATGATGTCAGGCGTCTGGGGTTGTTCTACCGGGAGTAGAGGAGGAAGTCGAAAGAGTAGCGTGGCATGTTGCAGTTCAGTAGTTGTACCTGTCCGGTGATGGGGGCAGTGGCCGATTTGCTCAACCGGTAGTGATAGTCACCCAGCTAGTAGCGCAGCCTGCGCCGATACCCGTAATCTTCGATCCGGGGGGAATGAACCTTGATGATGCGATGACATTCCATCGTCCCTTGACGTCGTTGTTCTCGACCTGCGGGCCGCAGTTCCCATGCTCTCCCCATCCCCACGCAAGCACATCGCCCTTGTCTGTGAAAGCAATGACATGCTCGCTTCCGATGGCAATCTTGCTCAGCTTGGGAAGACTCGGCGGCGGTAGCTGTCCATGGTCGTCTCGTCCCCAAGCAAGGAGCTCCCCGTCCTTCTTCAACACGTAGACGTTGCCCCAGCTTGCTCCGACGTCTTGCCACTCCGGCACAGATTCAGGGGCTGATGACTTGATGCTCCATTTGTCGGATCCGAGGACGAGCAGCTTGCCTGAATCAGGTGCGCCGAACAAGCAGGTGAAGTCCTTTCCGCAGACGGCCCGAGTAACTTTGAAATCCACGCCCTCGATCTTCCTGGGCGAGTGAACGACAGCCTCAGGGCTTCCAGCCTGGCCTTTGCGCACGTTACCCCACCCATACGCCTCCCCGTTGCTCAAGACCGCGATGACATGTCCCATGCAGCCTGCCAAATCCACGACTTCAGTGCCCGCCTGTGGGAATTCCTTGAACAGCGTAGCGGATGGCGAACGGACAAGCAACTCCCCCAAGCCGAGTTCACCCTTCAATCCTGCACCAAAGCTGTACACTCGTGTCGCCTTGCCCTCGCCATCCTTTTGGACAATTACCGAAGCTTCCCAGGTGGCAGCAACAAGGGCAGTCGTTGCATTGTTCTCCCCGCCGTCCTTGCTCAGCTGAATCTTCTGGAAGACAGGTTCCTGAGTCTCGGCCGTCGAAGTCAGACCGCACGCCCCGCTCGTGGCATCCCCGCTCCACCAGAGCTGTCCGCCCTCAGTCAGAAGCAAGGTGTGATTTCCTCCAGCAGCGACCTTGACCACGGGAGACTCTGGCTCGTCGGGGTAAAAAATAGCTTGCTTGGGGACTGACACATCTTCTTTGTGGCCGATTCCGAGTTGGCCAGATCCGTTAGATCCGATTGCAAAAAGGACCGACATTTCGGGAAATTCTGCGTTTGCGCTGGTTCAAGCTCTCCACGCGATGAACTCCTGCAGGTGTAGCTTCGATGTGGATATGACGACAACCAGAAATATCGCAATAACAGAATTCGTCCCCCACCAGTTTCTTCGCATGCATCTAAGCAGCTCAATGGAGGGGACACCTTCTCTCGGCCAATCATTACCGCGTCTCCGGCGGCCCTCTCCCGTCTCCACACCCAATGGCCGGCGCGAGATCAAAAAGCGGAACTCGAACCGCGTGCAGCTTTTTTCTTCTCCTCTGCATCCCACCAAACAGCTTCAGCTTTCGTTTCTCGGTCGTGACTCAGCGCCCCCGAAACCAAGCTTTCACAAGCGAAAAAAGTTTTCCTGGTCTTGCTCAGGATGTGAGAGCTTGCTTCGCGCAGACTTTGGCAGTCTTGACAGAGAATTTTCAGCACCAGAGAGAGCATCTACTTACCCCCCCAAGCAGGACAAACACCTACTATGGCATCTTCCTCGACTCCCAACACGCCGCAGGCCATACCCGCCGAGATGGAAAATTTCGTGGTCGGCCTGATTGGCATGGGAGACATGGGGAAGATGTACGCGCAGAGGCTTTCTGCCGCTGGATGGAAGTGAGTAATTGGTTCACCCCTCCTCTCCCAGCTGGGCCTCTGCGTTACGCGATTTCTTCTGGTAAGCTTCACATTTTTCTTCCTCGCGCAAGGCAACTTGCTCCCCTCCCCTTTGGTAATGATGACAAGAGCGCATTTGGCTAGAGTATCGCCCGAGGCCTTGCTGGCAAGCCATTCTGGCCCCAGCTATGGCTGAAGGCTTTCCATGATGATACACCTAGCTACCTTAACTTTACTTTGTCTGAACCTACACCTCAAATTTGCTTCGCTACAAGCTCTCTCATTATCAAAGCAAATGAGCTAACAATTGCTCCCAGGAAACTCGCAGGCATGCCCTTAATATTGCTACACACCTATTAGCGCTAGGGGATTAGGAAGTTGCTGGGAGGAACCAATAGGCTAACGCGGGTTCCGGCAGGATCATGGCGTGTGACCAGGAGGAAAAGTACGAGAGCCTGAAAGAAGAGTTCTCCGGAAACGTATGGGAGCTCCTGCCTGCCCTTCCGGTCAACGCACCCGCTGAGCCATGTCCTCTCTTGAACTATAGAACAATATACAAATTTGCCGAAATGGACACTACGTCTCCCGAGCCAGCGACTACATCATCTACAGCGTTGAAGCCGCCGCCATTGACCGCGTGATCTCCCAGTACGGACCATGTATGCCTTGGCTGCACCACTACCAGCTCCTGTCCCCCGTCCCATGTCTAACCAATCTCCACGACAGCAACAAAACTCGGCGCCATCGTCGGCGGCCAGACATCATGCAAAGACCCCGAGATCAAGGCCTTTGAGCGCCACCTCCCCTCCGACGTCGACATCGTCTCCTGCCACTCCCTCCACGGCCCCAACGTCGACCCGCGCAACCAGCCCCTCGTCATCATCGCCCACCGCGCCTCCCCGCTCTCCGTCCAGAAGGTCGAGACCGTCCTCTCCGTCCTCGGCTCCAAGCACGTCTACCTCTCCGCCCACGAGCACGACCGCATCACCGCCGACACCCAGGCCGTCACCCACGCCGCCTTCCTCTCCATGGGCAAGGCCTGGCACGCAAACGCCCAGTTCCCCTGGGAAATGTCCCGCTACGTCGGCGGCGTCGAGAACGTAAAGATCAACATCATGCTGCGCATCTACTCCCAAAAGTGGCACGTCTACGCCGGCCTCGCCATCCTCAACCCGGAAGCCCGCAAGCAGATATCCCAGTTCGCCCGCTCCGTCACCGACCTCTACAAGCTCATGCTCGAGGGCAACGCCCCCGCCCTGCGCGCCCGCGTCCTCGCCGCAAAGCAGAAGGTCTTCGGCCACGACGGCAGCCCCAAGTGGGCCGACCGGCCCCTCCTCAACCCGGACCTGCTCGAGCGCTTCTCCCTTGGTCGCAAGGAGGACCAGACCGAGCCCCCGCGCGCCAACAACCACCTTTCGCTGCTCGCCATGGTCGATTGCTGGGCCGAGCTGGGCATCGTCCCGTACGACCACATGATTTGCTCGACGCCCCTGTTCCGCCTGTGGCTCGGCGTCGCGGAGTACCTGTTTCGCAGTTCTGAGATGCTCGACGATGCGTTGAGGACGGCGATTGAGGATCACACGTACCGCAGCGACGACTTGGAGTTTACGTTTGGTGCGAGGGGTTGGGCGGAGTGTGTCTCCCAGGGACACTTCGAGACGTGGAAGAATCGATTCGAGACGACCCAGCAGTTCTTCCAGCCAAGATTTAAGGATGCTGTTGCTGTTGGTAACGCCATGATGAAGGCCGTGTTAGAAAGCACGAAGGACTGAGGGTTTTGTTTGGGAAATTGATACGTAGGAGTGGGAGACAAGAAACTGAGCTTGCGGGGGTTTCAATGCCGGTTTTATTAGGAGAATTTCGTCTGGGAGCTCCCACTCAGGAAACCAAAATGTTGTCGTGAAAAGATGCATACCCATTACAAACTGATGGTACGGATCTATGACTCGTTCTATAACCTGCAGAGGCCGCGTAGGTTACAATCTGCATTCTGCTGAATATTTCTGCCCACTATCCGTGATTGAAAGAATACAGGCGACATTCCGCTAGCAAAAAGGGTATCTCCCTCCATCCAACGCCGAAACAACCAAAACCACGGTTACAACCACGTCGTCCACCAACAACTAGTGACGGACACGAACAGGTCGTCTTGCGGCCGCCCGTCGTGTCGTCGCTTTTAGGAATCAGTTTGACCATCCGCAATGAGAGCTTTCCTCTCCTGCGCTCAAACTTGGGTCATCACATCCGGCACGTGTAACTCAACGCTCTCTTCCAACATGGCAACTCCGTACTGAACCTTCAGCGGCTGGGCTGAGAACTTGCCCTCCTCTTTCTCGTGCTCTTCCATCGCAGTGGTGATATCAGCGGTCGTGTTGCCCGCGCCAGAAGGCAAGCTGACAGACGCAGTCGAGCTATCATGCATGGACGAGTCGCCATCCAACGACTCTCGGCGTCCAGCTTGGGCAGCGAGGTTTGGAGAACCGGGAGATCGGGGCAAGGGAGGCTGCGGGCTTGGGTATGGCGAGGATGTTTCGGGGTTGCGAAGTCTGGTAGGTAGATCGATCTGTATGTTCAGACTTGCAAGAAGTGACTCGAGGTTATCTTCAGTGCTCGAAGTGTCTCGGCTGGATGTCAATGCCGGAGACGTGGATGTAAGAGAAGTAGCCGTCGACTGCAGATGTGTCAGATATTGCGCATATTTTCATTTATAGTACTCACGGCAGTCTGCGAGCGAAGACCCAGGTTGGCGACTACTTCAGGGTTGCAGATCGGCCTGCGACCGAAATGATGAAATCCCCAACCCGTCGCAGCCGTCGCGGGAACGTCGCCGTTAGCGATACTGTCAAGGCTGAGATACGCTCTGTCTGCGCCACCAGGGCGACAGCAAGGACAAATTCTGTACTTGCACCCCTCTCTCGGATTCGGAACCCAGGGTTTGGCGCTTTGGGTCAAGAACTCGGCCAAATCGGACGTATTGGATTCTTTGACAGTGGCTGCCGTCTTGCGATCAGACTCTTGCTGAAGAACTTTGGCAAGCTGGATCATGTCAGTCCCCAGAACATACCCCAGTAAGTGAGAGTCACTGACATGCTTACGTTGGTTGAAGATGGTCATAAGCTGTTCGCTAGTGTACGTTTTGGCAATAAATTCAGGGGACATTTCCTCGAGAAAGTTGGCTGGGTTTGTGGCCCGCTGCTCTGGACCGCGAAGTCTGGGTTTGACGGTATTGACCATGTCACGGCCCAGCTCGTCAAAATTGCACTTTCCTCGTCAGTCAAGTGGCTTTTACCAAGTCCTCAGCACCTACCTCTTCTCCGCGGCAAATGGCCTCGCGAAGCAACTCCTCGTGATCTTGAGTACAACAGTACAGCCAGCCCAAGGGGCCGAGGTTGCCACAAGAATCGCAGCGGAGATGGTAGCTATAGACGCGGATCAACGTGACGTGAGTGCAGGCCGCGTAGGTTCGCGTCTGACGGGAGGAACCCTGCGGGCCCGTCTTGATCTTGATGCCAGCCATCACGATCTCGAGGAAATGGGCGTCGGATGGTAGTGGCGGGTGTTTGTAGGAGGTCCGTAGGTCAGGTTGTCATTCGGTGATACTCCACACCCAAAAAGTCCCGGGAGGGGCGAAGGGGCAACATCCTTAAGGAGTTGAGAAGGAGCATACTCGGGCCTTGGTAGGTGAAAACTAGACTTCTGGGCAGGAGCACCCGCTTCAACTTCACATTCACTAGAAGCGAAATGCGATGACATCGTGCTTTCATCTTAAAGTGCAGGAGCTCCCGATTCCTGTCACCACCCGCCTTCTTTGTTTGAAGTGCACATTTTCCTGCCGGGATGCACTGCCCGAACCCTCAGATTTCAACACCACTTGATTATATATTGACCAAGCAGGCACCAAGGCGACTAAACTCCAATTAGGCTATCTCGGTCGGTGGGTTGACGTCTCCGTGTAAGCTTCTGGTGCCGTTCAGAATCGATTATTGGTCTGCAGTAACACTTGCATACTTTTCATAACTGTCGGCAGGCTGACGGGTATGAATGACATTGAATGCAAGAAACAATACTCTTACGCATTACTTCTGGGCGTCTGCAAAGCTCTCGAGGATGTGAGTCATGTTGATCGTTGCGAAACTTTGGGTGTTATCGCCGTTGGGCTCGACTCTCCCACCGCTACTTGCTCAGGTTCTCTTACATCGATGTTATCCAGCTCTCTGATATCATTTTGCTGCACCTCGACGCGTATGGTGACACCTTGGTTGCCAATGATATCCGCTATTCGTTTCCACCGGCCGGCAGATGGACGAATTTGTCGACCAACATGCCACTCTTGCTGAAGAACCAAGGGCATCCACAATCTTTTGCATATGGTTGACAAGGTTATACGTCTAGGTAGAGTGCGGATTTCGCCATAGGCGAGAACATGTCACCAATCGCATAGCTCGCCGAGGTAAGGAAGTCTGCTTCTTCCAATCGCCTTGGCATGTCGAACAATGCTAACGCAAGCCCAGGACCACTTTAAGTATTCTCCGTGGAAAGCAGGTTCGAGCTTTAAAACCTGAGGCTCGTTGATGTTGAATTGATATCAGATGTCACACCCCAGGCTCGCTTATCATTCTGACCCAGCTCATCATCAGCACACACAAAACTTCGTTTCGATGAAGGAAAAAAAGTTTGGCGGAATTTTGCGAGGGTGCCAAGCTGGTGGGATGCAAAGCGGGAGGAGAATGAGTAGTTCAGACGACCTTCGGACGATTCGGTATCTCCAAAGCATGAAGCTTGATCATTAAACCATCATTTTTTGGGAAGGGTTCACTAGGGGTCAACCCAGCATAGACAATCACTGCCGGCAAGTGCAGGATTCCAGCGTCTGTCAGGATGAGCTGGCGTGCGTCCGTCCGCTGCCACCACCTAATTTTTTTTCTTTTTCTTGCTGGCCGTCGTCCCCTCCTCGGGAGGTGAAAACAGACCTCGGGCCATTGGCTATGTGCAGCCAATCATAGCTCCCAGTTGACACACCCCTGCAGCTCCGTCCAGCTCTGCCCCATCATGCAACATCCCGGTCGACTAGCGGCCGAAGACGAATGAGCTTCTCCCAGCAGCGAGCTCCAGGTCCAGCAGGTCCAGCAGGTCCAGGAAGAGAAGAGTCCAGGTCGAGGCACCACCCCCATCTCAGGCAAGCAATCAATCTCCTCCCAGTCCCGTCCCTCTCTTCCCATGTTGCGTTGCCCAGTCCAGTGTCCAGCGTCCCTCGCCCCCCCTCCCCCCCAGCCGGTTCACATCCAACCAGTCACCCAGTTTCCAGCCCACACAGCTTGCCTGGTTCTAGTTTCCCGTGTCGTACCTAGGATCCGATCCGCACGCACCAAAGGGGAGCCCAGAGGGCCCCAATTGTGTCAACCTCCTCGACCACTCTACCACACATCAACAACCCACCCGCCTCTTACTGCTGCTGCTGCCGCCCAACCTCCCCTCCGAGACGGCCAGACTCCCACCTTCTTGTCATCTTGCAAGAAACACTCAGTACGTTGCCCTAATTTTTCGTCGCGCACTTTTCCGACCATCGTCAAGTTGCAATTGCGGTTTTCCGAATCCTCCAAGCTGTCGCCGCGCAATTTACTGCCCACTCCTTGTCGGTCGGCTGAGCGACGCGGTAAACAAACCATTGGCCCCCGGGGTCTGGAAGCTGGAGCCGCAAATCAATTGACGAACACCCCCCCCCGGAAAATCCATCGCGAACACAATCGAGAAGACCCTCTCAGCTAATGCTCATCCCTCACCGCAGTTTTGTCTTCCCCGCGTTTCCCATTTCGATAGCGATACCCCCCGACGCATAGCCCAAAATGTCCGTCAAGTTCGAGAAGGAGACGAAAGAGACGCTGCAAAAGGCCGTCGACAAGGTCCAAGACACCTTCCACCCCGAGAAGCCTCTGCCCGGCACCAGCGGAAAGCATCCCATCTCTGAGGCCATCGGCACTGCCATCACCGGAGGCAAGAAGAATGCAGGCTCCAAAGGCTACCTCGCGGTTCGTCTTACACTCCCTCGATTCCGTCATGCCTGCGAAATCGCCGCCAAGACGCGGCCACATCCCACGAGAATACACCACTGACGCGGTTGCAACCAGGCCTACATCAAGCAGCTCGAGGAGAACCCGCTGCGAACCAAGATGCTCACGGCTGGAACCCTAGCTGGCGCCCAGGAGCTGCTCGCGTCCTTCCTCGCCAAGGACCGCAACAAGCATGGCAACTACTTCACTTCGCGCGTGCCCAAGATGGCCGCCTACGGCGCCATCGTCAGCGCGCCTCTCGGCCACTTCCTCATCTGGGCCCTGCAGAAGACCTTTGCCGGCCGCACCAGCTTGCGCGCCAAGGTCCTGCAGATCATTGTCAGCAACTTGATTGTACGTGGTCTGATTGCTAATATATCGCGACAGAAGAGATGGCTGACTTTCCGTAGATTGCGCCCATTCAGAACTCCGTCTACCTGGTCGCCATGGCCCTGATTGCCGGCGCCAAGACGTACCACCAGGTCCGCGCAACTGTGAAGGTCGGCTTCTGGAAGGTCATGAAGGTCAGCTGGATTACTTCTCCCCTGTGCCTGGCCTTTGCCCAGAAGTTCCTCCCGGATCAACTCTGGGTTCCCTTCTTCAACCTGGTTGCCTTCATCATCGGCACCTACATCAACACCACCACCAAGAAGAAGCGCCTCGCGGCTCTCCGCAAGAAGCACTTCGGTGACGGTCGCTCCGACGGTCGCTCCCCGTCGATGGGAGGTCGCCCGGAGGACTACCCCCCTCCTCACGGCGGACCTCACGGACCCCACGGAGGGCCTCACGGAGGCCCTCACCCCGGTCCCATGGGTGGCCCCAACCCTCCTTACTAAAGGAGACTTTGATGACGGCAAGATTACGCCCCCTTGATGAGATCTAGTAACATCTAATACGAAAACGAGTTCCGTCCTTGGGGCGGAATTCTGGAGTTGAGGGGCGGGGGGCAGTGTGAATGATACGCGAGCAAGAGGCTGGCGGCTTGGAAACGCTGCAACCGGCCGCTGAGTATCTTTGTACAATTTGCTTGCTTCGTACGTTGCGTCATGTTATATGTCCTGTGTGTCGGTAGATAGGTTCAATGCGCTTGGTTTTATGGTTCGACTTGCTGCATCGGCGTCTATTGTGACAAACTATCGAGTGGACTGCGTTCTAGGCTGGCCTGGCTTGAGATCTTTCATATCTTCGTCATGGCCGTATGCTAACGATCTACCTAGCACTATTAGGTGCTCTTGTGTAGCATGCACTCTCATGGTCTCGGCAACAGCTGGAGGACTTTTGTGTCTCTGAACAACCAGCCCGGTGTAGACCTAGTCATGGACGCGATGTGCCCCCTTGTCCAAATTTTGGACTTGGTCAATCGTCGGTGTGACGTGATTCCGCCGGTCTGTCGAACGGAGAAGTGGATATGTGGCTCGTGATGTCTCCGCACGCGGCTCTCACTCCCCGGCCGTGGCCTCTCCGGTGTCCACCATAAACCCGGGACTCCAATACTCCCATTCCGGACATTGCTTGTCAACCCACAACATGCCCTCACCCAACAGGTCCTCCAACGCCGTCTGCGCCCGCGCCTTCGGCCACTTCAAGTTGACCATCAGCATGGAGATGCTGACGTACCCCAGCACTTGAACAGCCTCGAGCACGGCGCTCTGGTCCGTGTTGAGCTCCTTGGGTATGCTCCGGATGTAGTCCTTGCTTCCAACCTTGATGACGCTGAACGAGCTGCCCAGCGGCTTCAGCGTGCCGACGGCCCTCAGCACGTCGTCCTCCGTCACCTCGCTCGCGCCCTCCATCCGGCCCGTCATGATGCGCTCCCGCACCTCGCGAACCCCGATCAGACCGCCGTTCTCGTCCCGCGTCGCACCGCACACCTCGACGACCCGCACCGCGAGCTCGAAGTAGAAGTCGTTGACCGACCTGCCCAGTAGCTGCGCCCATATCGAGGACGAGCCGCCCCCGCTGCCCGAGGAGGATGACGACGCGAGGGGATCGACGCCGATGGCGGAACACATGCGCGCGAACTGCGCGCGGAAGGAGGGATCAGAACGGATGTCTTTGGCGTGGGTCTGCGCGAACTGCTGTAGGAGGGAGCGGAAGACGGAGAGCTGCGTCTCAAGGGCCTGGGCGTTGCTGCTGCGCAGGTTCGAGCCATGAGAGGCGTACTGCGCCGAGGTCAGGCGGGACCGGTCAAAGGCCGCGATGCCGATGCCTTTTCGCGACATGCTTTCGGTCGGTCGGTGGTTTCGTGAGGAGTTTGGATGTGGAGGACGGGAGCGGGAAAAAGGGGGGTCTTGGTTGGTGAGCTAGCTCTCTGTTGCCTGTCTTTTTGGGGGGAAGAGGGGCAGAGAGGGAGGTTAATAGAGGGGCGGATATCTTGGTGGACGCTCCGCCATGTCGGTCCTCGTTGGCGCCGACGTCAACAGCAGTTCCGACTCGGCGGGTCTCCCGCTTCGATGTCGCGGGTGATGACATAAGGCAAGCCGGATGGCTCTCCGGGTCCACGGAGCCCAGACCGCAGAGATCACGTGAAGAGGTCCGCCGGCTCAACTCCGGAGACGCTAAACCTTCTTTCGACTAGCGCCCCATGGAGGGCACACGCACAACAGCCCTCGCGAAAAATCCAAATCTCGTCCGTTTCGATATCACCAAAGTACGCGCTCACGATTATCGCTGCGAATTTCCTCACAGTCCCCCCTCCATCCCGCAGCAACCATGTCGTCCACCCAGAGCGTCCAGTGCTTCGGCAAGAAGAAGACCGCCACTGCGGTTGCCCAGTGCAAGGTGCGATCCCGAAATTTTTCTGCCTCCCCCTGCCGAACGAGAAAAGAACATGCCGTCCCAGAGCGACTGGGGTGGTGAACGAAAATTCGATATCGAACTTTGGAAGGCTGACTTTGATGTTGCTTTAGGCTGGCAAGGGCCTCGTCAAGGTCAACGGCAAGCCCCTCTCGCTTGTCCAGCCTGAGATCCTCCGCTTCAAGGTACGAACAAACCCGCGCGAAACAGTCCCAATGCAGAACCGGTCGACAAGAGGAGGAAACCACCACGTGGATCGAAACTCGGAAGCGAAGAGCAAGGCGCCAGGATGACGGAACACTTCAATGGGGGAGGAAGAGAAGCATCGCGGCGTCCTGCTCTTCACAACGAGCAAGAGGATTGGGAAACGCAAAGACCGAGGGACCGCAAAAGGACATGCATCGGAATTTCGCAACGACAAACATACTAACGTACTCACCCACAGGTCTACGAGCCCCTCCTCGTCCTCGGCCTCGACAAGTTCGCCAACATCGACATCCGCGTCCGCGTCACCGGTGGTGGTCACACTTCCCAGATCTACGCCATCCGTCAGGCCATCGCCAAGTCTGTCGTCGCCTACTACCAGAAGTTCGTCGACGAGCACTCCAAGAACATGCTGAAGCAGGCTCTTGTCCAGTTCGACCGTACCCTCCTCGTCGCCGACAACCGCCGGTGCGAGCCCAAGAAGTTCGGTGGTGTTGGTGCCCGCTCCAGATTCCAGAAGTCTTACCGTTAAACGGTATCTCTCTCTGGCTGGCGTCGCTCTTTCCTCCATTTCGTCTGTCGGGCCATGGGACAACTACCTCTCCTGGTTTCGCGCAGGCAGCTGGGGAAGGTGTGAGTGTGTGGGAAAAAATGGAAATTTGGGCAGAGTGGGGGTTTTCCGGCCCGGTCAGCTTTTGGTGTTATCCCGCGCAGCAAAAAAGACACATCGTTCTTCTTTTTAAACCGGGAGGAGTCAAACGTGGATCAAAAAATGATCTGGTAGCGTCCTTTTCACACGAGATTCGATGGGGGACGTGTTTCCGGTAATGCTCGGTGCGGGTTCGTCCACCGCCCTCATCGACGCATAATGCAAATGGCATGCCTCGCGGTATCGCTGCTTGGCTTGGGTTTGTAAAGGGTCAGGCAGGCAAATGAAACATTGAAACTTCATGACACGGCGTTTGGGCTCGAGCTATGCGTGTGCCGTGTTTCTTTTTCCTTCAAGAGTCGACGATCCGCATAAAAGTTATGGTGTAGAGGGCAAGGGAAAACGAATGACTTTCAACCTTCAAGGTCCATGGACTCGCTTTCCCTGTGATTGCCAGCTTGTTTGAGAAGGTCCTCCCGCCCTCATAGCTATCCAGTTGCCTCGCTCCTTGCCTCGCTCTCCCACGCACCTCCAGCGCCAGCCATTGAATCTAGACCAAGCCATTAATAAGCCCGGGCAGCATCTAACCAGCTTCCTCTCCATGCGTGTAATTCCAATCAAAACCATCGTGATATGGACCTGGCAAATTCCGAGGAGAACACCTGTTTTTCCTATGGTGGAGCGGCTGGTTTTCCTTGGATATACTCTAGCCTACCATCGTCGTCGTCACTGTCGTTACTATTGTCTTCAACACGAGTAAAATATAGCCACGCAGACACAGGGAAATCAGGTCATCCCGAGGCTTCACATCACTTGGTCTTGCCGCTTGCCCGCGCTGTCACTGAATGACGGAACCAAGTCAGTCTCTAGCGATCCCATCGATCTCAACCCACGCCAGCCATTCGCTCTTCACTTCACCACCTCACATAAGACCTCGAACAAACTCCTTTACACGACGATGCTTGCACGAATAGGGACTTAGCAGATACGTAGCGTAACAACGTCGTCTGGCAGTAAGCTGCGTTGATGTGAATGAATTGTCAAAAAGAAAAACTAAAAATAGCAGAATCTACCCCGCCACCACTGTGGAGGTAGACGAGAGAGGCAAAAAGATATGATCAGTGGGAGGCTTGAACTCCCGGCCTTGGCATTACTTAACATCTCAGATGAGATATTAGTACCACGCTCTAACCAACTGAGCTAACCGACCGAACTGAGTTGTTCAGATATTGATGTGGGAGTGGGCGGCATTGAGCCCTATGATGCACCCACGGAGCAATGTGGGGCGGAAATGACTCTCTCCCACACAGGTCGCTGCATGACATGAATAGACATGGTGGCAACACACTGCAAGCGAGTGAAGGCAAATTTGATTCAAGCTAGAGATAAACATCAGTGTCGAAATGGCGTATCTTCAAAACCAACTAAAGGATATTCAAGGCAATGAAGTTTCATGACAAAAGGTGGGCACACGCAATGGCCTTCTTCTGGGTTTTTGGGTGGCTCAAAATGAGCCCAAAAACATGTTCGACGACCGTATCCGCAAATGACTCTCTGTGATGAAATCTTGTTACCGGGTAGCCGAAGGACTATTCCACTTGGAAGACTCGAATCACCAAACAACGAAGGACAGCAATGGTGACCGAAGGGTTGTTCATGGACACTACGTACCGCAATCCTGGCTAGACCACCACGCAACCGTTCCTCGTGGAATGCGTTGCGTGAGCGCGAAGAGACTCTAAACACGAGAACTTGGCATTTGACTTTGAAGGGCACTGAAGCGCCACTGGGGAAATATATATGATTCCCGCTTCAACGTTGACTTAGTCTGTCTACCGACAGATTGCGTTCTCGAAGCTACATGACATGCGAACAAACCACGTCTTTCTTATGAGGGCGAACGATGCCCCATGTCTATGAAACGACTGAAACCTCAGTCAAGAGCCAAAGGCAGCTACGATAAGAATATTGCATAGTCTTCAGTCTTCGATCCCTCCGTCTCACGAAGTTGTGCAGGGGATAAGTCGATGGGACCGATCAGTCTGTTTGATTGGGGACAGAGTTGACATGTTTGAAAGCTCTGGTCCGTTCTCTGGCTTGTTATCAGACATCTTATCCTTCCCAAAAACCTGAAGTACGCCTGAACTTTGACTGAGCAGGAGTAATGGGTAAATAGCATAACAGGCCTTTGATATATTCCTAGATGGTGAACTTATACAATCAAGGCTAGACTTCTCGTACAAATGAGAGTCCGTCACTGCAACGCATTCAAAATTTTCAAACCGTGGGCTGGATTCTATGCTCTTGTATTCCTTCGTCTGGTGATGAGGAGATCACCCGGCTCGTATAAGCCGCAATGTCAAAGACGGTTCACCGCGTCATCACGACCATATCAGTCATGCCTCGTGTATTCCTAGCTGATACTGCTATTGTTTCAGTTGACTTAACAGAAACTGATAGTGTCAGTGAGCAAGATCATGTACGTAGTAATCGCCAGAGAACGCAACTATCAGCTGTCGCGGCTATCGCTTACTAGCAAAAGTACTCCCTTCGACTTCTTTCGGGATCCTGGGTATCGGCTGGCTTCTTCATCTGAGGTGTAAGTGGTCGGAATACACTGCAAGACATATAAACGAACAAGCAAGGTGGGCGCCATGTCTAAGCCTCAATATCGAGACATTGGCACATCGGCCTTGGCGTCATAGTCGGCAATGGCGAGAAGGCCGATGGATGACTACGATTGCTTGCATACATATTTTAGATTCAGATGTTCAATTCATGAGGATCTTCTTTCCTAGCTATGACTACCCTTGATTTACCTCTGTCCTGGGTGGTTTGAGAAAGGCACTGCCCCCAATACGTATTTAAATGAGTAGGAGACAACATTTGAAATGTTCACACACGGCAAATCCAGTTGTACTTGTCTCTGTCTGGACGAACTTGAATGTCGCCATCACAAGGAGTCCCTGTCAGCGATGTTGAAAGGGCTGTGACGGGGTCGCGAGAGCTGCGCTACACATTTCAACCCTCCCGTATTCAGCAACAATACTTCATCGAGGCCAGCCTCGGCGATAGACCACACGACTCTATCATGAGAAGAAGTTGAAAGTAACTGTTGCTTTCAAGAAAACCCTACGTCAACCATTCTCGAGGCCTAAGCTTTGTATTCCACGCCTCGTCGAAGTTAATTGTGGCTTGATGGCAAGGGATGAGCCCTAGTATTTCCTCCCGTCAGGGGGAATACGAGCGAGACGACGCTGGTCAGCAGAAGCAATGAATCCTCTTGGGAGTTTCCCAAGCTGATTCTCGTACCACATACTTTGGTGGCCTCGCATTCGGCAGCAACCCTAGGCCCTGTTGATGACGCCAACGATAGCCAGCTCAAATCCCTTCACAATTCAATGTCCTGCTGATTCACATATTAAGACAGTCCTCGATGGTATTCTGGAGCTGAGGCCGCAAGCAAAATGGACCGAACGCAAGTTCTCATTCTTAAGGGCTGGAATATTTCAGACGCAGTTGGGGTAGTTTTAGAGTCTCGTAGAATTCTCTTTAAAGACTGCGTGCTACCAATGTGTATTCTTCATTATGTGGCAGTATAATCTTGCGACAGAGGAGCTGACGAGATCCCCAAAACCAAACTATGGCTTGAATCAGACAGACCTACAGCCCACAAACAGGCATCATTATGCCGAGAAACGCTGCGTAAAGAGACGAACGGCGAATCCACAGCAGACCTTGTGATGGTGCCCCGACGTCATATATCCAAGGCGAGTACTTACCGGCATCAACCCTCTCCTCTAGATGCATCATTAGTCTTTTGTACAAGCTATGCCTGGACAGCAATGTCCCTCAAGCGCTTGCGGATGTTCTCTTGCCTTTACCCGGTATCAAGAACCCTCGTGAACGGGTAAATGTTCTTTGACTCTACGGTGAAGCAGCAACACTCTGCAGACCATAGCATGTCTATTAGATCGTCTTCTAAGCAGTTTTCTTCGAAACCCATGATGTATCGACGAAACGCTTTCCAAAAGTTACTGAATGCTTGTGATCGACATCGAGTGTTGTCCTCGACTGCTGGGCTCTTATTGACTGGTTTCACTCGCCAACTTTGAATGCTAGACTGAACGCGTCTTCTTCGCGTTGTTATCGACATCATCATGATATTTACCCAATCTCGGGAAGTGTTCATCCTATTCGTTTCCGAAACCTCCTGGCCAGTAGTCCTGATACTGCTGCCGTCTTCACAAAATGCCAGACTTGGTCGTGAACTCTCCGTCTTCCACTCTAGTTACGTCACTCTCATGTCTCTCCTCTCCCATGCATCTTGGTAAGACGTAAACCCAGAACAGTTTGTATCGACGAAGTAACAATAGATCCCACAGCAGCCGAGACTGACGCATGTTACTGTCTCTTAGAACATCAAGCTATCATCGCCGAGACTTCTCTTGATCCTACGAAGGCTCTGTTCTTCGTGAAGGCCATCATGGGAAGTGAACCTGACACAGCACACTCAATAATCATTCGACAGGGGGGAAAAGAGTCATTGTGTGAGGTCATTGTGTTTGCGAAGACGGTCAGTCACGCCCGTCCTCGTCCACGCGCCCCTGAGCGAACTATTCGTCGCCTTCTCATCTTCTTCCGATCAGAAAAACAGCCAGATGAGGTCGAAAGACACTTCAAAAAAGGGCAGGCAGCATCTATATCTTCAGAACGCGCGAGCACTGGGTTCGCCGTCAAGGCCCATCATCGTCGTCCTCTGCCCAACCCCTGACCGTATCTCAACTATCACGTATGCAAAAAGAAGACATGAATGATTGCGCGTCATACCTTCGTTGTTGCGAACCCAAATCTCAGTCTCCCCATGAACCAGAGCGTAGCGA